ACAGTGAACATCACTGATGAGATGTCCAAAGGATCTTTTGGAAATGTGTGGAAGAGTGTCAACCCTAGTGAGAGCACAAAGAAGGAACCAAGCACTAAAAGGTGAGCCTCTTGTCCACATTACTCTTAGCTATCCAGATTAGTATCAGCTTCAATACCACATGCTGCATAGAGACTTGCTGAGTTAAATGTGTTTTTGCAGGGTCATAATAATGTCAGTTTCTAGGAGAAAACTGTGTCTTTGGGTGTCAAAGCAAGCAGTGGCAGGTGTTTACTATTAAAATGTTATGGAACATTTACTTTCTATTTTTCCAGGAAACTGAGGAGCTAGTATGTTTGGATAAAAATGGTTTATCTAAGAGCAGCCCTGCCCTCACAGAGTTCCCACAGAGTAGACTAACATAGTGTCTCCTGCCTGCCTCTCTCATTCCACTCCACCCCTAAGCTCCCCTTCCTAACCTCTCAGAAGCTGATATCCCAAAGGTAAGTTGTTCCCAGTCCCTCAGCATGGAGAGTCTTGTCCTGTGTCTTCTGTTTACTGCTAATGACTGTTGATTGTTGCATGATGAAAACGGTGTTGGTCTGTGCTGCAAGTAATGGTTCAGTGATGGAAGTTGACTCAAGAAATAGAGAGATAAATCAGTAATAAATTGGTGTTGACAGAACAGCATGGCCTGGGCGTGCATGTTACTTCAAGGACGCATTTTATGATGCTATTTGCATGTTGTAAAAGCTGTAAAATGAATAACTCTATTATTATATTTTAGTGTCACAAGATATTGAAGTGTTAGGGCAAACTGCTGTTAAGCTTTATGAGACATATTTGCATGCTGTGTGATCTGGATTAAATGAGTGATTATCAGCCAGCTGGCAATGCGTCTGTATTCTGCACTTGTGTCTTGAATTGTGAGAATGTCGTCCCAAAACATCAATACGCTTGCTTGTTCTCTTTTTAATATTTTCCTGGTTTAAATACTTCTTTTGTGCAGTTGTTCCAGCGGCGGCGAAAAGCGGCACAAGCGCCGGAGACATGAGAAGAGCTTGGACAGGGAGACAAGTTTGTGATGACACATACTGGCGGTGCCACTGTGCTGTCAATCAGTAGATCAAAAAACAAAAAACAAAAAAAATGATACCGTGCCACACTCAACCACCTTTGTACTGTGCTACACTGTGTTTTTGTCATGTAAGTCCGTGTGCAAGTTGTGTAAAACGAAGAAAAAAATTGTTAGAAACAGTATTAACACAAGGAACCAAGACACATTTGTGTTCTTTTTCTATGTATATCAATGTTTGGTGATACCAGCAACAGAAGGAAGCCAGAACTTCATGACACTTACAGTAACTGCTGTGTCAATGGGCCAATTAACGTAAACATTTTAAACAATTTTTAAATCTATTTTATTTGTATTTTGTATGTTTTTATATTTTTCCAACAACAACAGTTGTGAGTTGTCCTTTTAAGAAACCTGCCACAGCAAACTGCAAATAAGGGGATTTTGTGTGCAGCATCTAATGCCGCAATTGACTGGATGCACTTCACAAGAGAAAATCTAAAAAGTAGATATTTGCCAATACTATTCTATTTCACTGGTATCTAAAAGAGTCGGCTATATAGCGAATCTAGTAATTTTTTGAAAGTATTGATTAAACGTTTTATATATTCTGTATATCTAAATGTTTTTGTGACAGTGACAGCTCATATCACTCCAGAGTCTTCTCCATTGCTATTTTACAAATAAATGTCTCCCTTCCAATAAAGCATGTCTCCAAACGAGTTTAAAGGAATAGTTTGACACTCTGGGAAATACACTTATTTGTTTTATTGCTGAGTGTTAGACGAGAAGATTGATACCCAACACGTTTGTACGCGAAAGATAAAGCTAGAGCTAGCAGCTACCTAGCTTAGCTTAGCATAAAGACTGAAAATGGTGGAACAGCTAGCCTAGCTCTGCCAAATGTGACAAAATCTGGTTAAAACTCATAAATTAACACAAAATATTGTTTGCTAAATCCATACAAAAACTGAACTGTAAAACGCCTCATTTTAGTTTTGCTACTTGCTTAATAATTGCTTAATATTTAGCGCACAGAAATGAGAGTGGTATCTGTCTCTTTATCTAACTCTTGGCAAGAAAGTGAATATTTCCCAAAATTATTCTCTTGACGATAATGTACTTTGGGGGCAGCTTATTGGAACATTTTCAAGCTAGCATTTCAGCATAGTCCAGGATCTTTCAGCACCTTTAGCTACTTGGCCTTGGCTTTTTAAAAACTCATCCAACTTGTGAATGCTGAACTTTAGGGTGACTGTACAGACAGCTCTATGTTTTCCACCTGCATACTCTTTGTCATCTTGTCAGTAAGTGTCATCCATGGACATGTGATCTCCTATCCAAATGACCCTCAATGTGTTAGCATCTGAAGCTAATTGTTTTAAAAAGAAAAACACCTGCATGACGACGAAACAGACTTGACTGTCTCGCTGCAGGACCATGGTTACTTCTAGAGATGCAATAATACCTTTTTTCTGGGAAGGGCAACATGTAATAAACGGTAAAGAGTCTTAACAATGTATAATACATAGTATATTTTATTCATGTAAAATGTTACTAATATATTACTAACATGAAGTCAGTGTTGAAGGCAGGTTTTTGTTGTAGATGTTCTTTTCCCATTGTCTAATTGATGGTTCTTAGTTGATTAGAGAAACTAATAAGGGGTCAGAATTATATCAGTATCAAATATTTTGACCACTTCTGTGTGGAATTCTGCCTTAAATTTGGTAGTGATAGCTGTACACTTTCTGTTTAATAATTTAAGTCACCTGTATAGAAACCTATCAGTTCAGATCTGTTGTTATATTGTGATTTGTTTCATGAGAATGAGAGTGTGACTGAGTGAGAGCATAAATAAAGATCTTAAACAAACTGCTGAAATCATGTGGTTCTTTATTGATCCCTATACTTGCTCTTGTTTACAGGGAGGTCAGAGGTCACATAGGATAGCTCATTCTCACCATACTGTTATATATAAATATTTGTTTAATATTGTACCATACTGTACCCTAGAGTTATTCTATACTACTCTCCAGATACAGTGTCAGTAGTGTGTGAATACTGGCTGTCTTGTCTCCACCTTTGACCCCAGGAGCTCCATGTCTTTGGCTTCATTGGAGCAGGGGTGCGCAGAGCAGCCCGCACCCTCAGGCTGAAGCTCCTCTAGCCTCCGTGGGGCAGAGCTACAGGAGGTGACTGACCCGTGATGCTGCTGTTGATGCTCCCAGAGAGACCAGTATCCTTGTTTAAAATCATATATCAGAAATAGTGGGAGGAATCTGTAAAGACTGTTGCACTTCCTGTAGGCCTATTATGATTTGTGTTGTGAGGCTTTCCCTGATTCCTGATGCCATGAAATGTGGGAGACAGGACAGGCTTGGATTATATGAAATTTTCGTTGAGAGTTGCGGTTCATTTCATAACTTAAGTATTCAGTTTCATGCTACTACAGTATATACTTGTACTCAATTCATTTAGTTATTGCAGATTCAGATGAATAATACAAACTGTAATCAACAAATAAGTTATAATATATTGATATATGTTAAGATAATGATGTGTGACATTAATGCATAGATAATTATAATCCAGTAATTTATATATTATTCTGATATGAGCCATTATGCATAATTAGTACTTTTACGTCAAGTTAGGTTTAGGTTATATAGAGAAAATCAAATATCACAATATTTTTTACCAAATACCTCGACATTTATATTGTGACAATATTGTAGGGTTGACTATTGGTGCTTTCTCAAGATATTTTAAAAATTGAAATTTTCGATAAATATTGGGTTACTAATGTGGACATAATGACTAAGTGGCAAGTATCAGGACAGAACAGTCTGGTAAGTTCAGAAAATTACATCACTTTACTGTAATACAGCCTATGGGATCAGGAAAAGACAACTCTTATTACCAAAATCTAAGACGACAGCTGGTTTCATACCACAATATTAATTTAATATGGGTATATTTCCCAGATTGAATTTGAGTACTTCTACTCAAAGATCCAGTGTGTAGGATTTAGGGGAACACATTGGCAGATGTATGTTTTCATGTGTTTATGAGCAACTGAAGAATTATTGAGTTTTTGTTACTGTAGAATGAGCCATTAAAATCTACAGAGCGACTCCTCTTCTGTGAAGTCAGCCATTATCTATGTTGTTTCTACAGTAACCCAGAACAGACAAATCAAAGACTGACTTTAGATAGAGCCATTTTTGCATTTTTTCGTCAGCCACAGTTGTTCTCCTACTCACTTGGCACGCAGGAGAAGTTTTAGTTGGTTTGCAATCTGTAACCTCACAGCTAGATGCCAGTAAATCCTACACACTAGACCTTAATGTAAAAATTAAATGCATGATTTCACCTGTAACAGAACACACTCTGTAGTTTATCTTGACATGGTCCCACAAACACTGTCCTGCTACCCCAAAAACTAGAGCACCAACTCTGGATTAATCCGCTGCTGAAAATAGTACCCAACAAATGCACTGTTTCCTACTGTTTGAGTAGCCTGTGATAGGAACTCCAGTGACCAGCTGTTTTAGGGAATTACTGAGTGTTTTAAGCTGCGATCTACAGCTCTACAGCTCGCTCTCTCTTTTGATTGGTCCACAAAAATGTCCCCGCACTTTGGCAGACACAGCTATTGTGAATTCATGGTGTGTTGTGGTGGCCAAGGAGTTGTAGGCGCTGACCATGAACCATAACATTCCAGGTTTTAGTTGTGCTGGAGGTCTTTGTTATTTGTCCTTCTTTATCTCCTTACTCTGTATCACTAATTAAGATATAAAAAATCCAAAAAAAATTTGAGCCTTATTTAAAGCTTCACGTCTCCACTAAGAACAAATGTTGTAATGTTAATCCTCAATGACACAGTTAAAGCATTTATGTGAAGCTCATTAAAGATGTCTATCTTAAAATAATGCCACAAACACTCAATGAACAACTTTATTTTTGCAGAGCGAATCAATAATATGCGATGAAAACCAACTACACTACATGTGTTTTCTGTAGGCCTACCTGAGATTTCACTTTTTGTGTTCTTGTTTTCACCTAATAAATATAGAAAATAATTTAAATTTGTAGAAAAAAATAATGCCCTCAATTCCATTTCTTTTCTCTGGTGCACCATAAAAACTATGGAAGAGTAGTAGTTTTTGTATCTTTGCATTACATACGGTAAGTAAAAAAAGATGTGTTGACATTACAACATGCAAAGCAGTATGGCTTTCTATTCCTCCTGAATATGGCTTTGTGTGCAGCACACAGAGGGAGTCCTTGATGAGCGCCTCATTGGTCCTCTTGTCTTTTCATACTGCAAAAGAGAGAAAATCACGATCATGTTGAGTTCAGCATTTTTGGAAATGATCACATCAGCCATGTGACTCAGTTTTACCTCTGCCCTGAAGGCTTGGAGGTCATGACCCAGAGTAAATATTCCTTGGCAGCCATGGAGTCCAGCACTTTGCTCACATCACTGGTGAAGCTTCCATCTACATGCCTCCTGCTGAACGACTCACCCCACCTGTCCGTTTCAGATCTGAGTATGTACACAGGCACATAATGTAAACATTGCCTGTTAAGGGTCAGTAGCCCCACATTGTGGAAACCTGCCATTTGAGCTCTTATATTTGACCCGCAGTACAGAGTTAATCAGGGAATCATCGTGTTAGTTGTTGTTATTTTTTTTCCGATGAGTACAAATATGTTGTTGCTGTGATCATTCTGTGATTGGTTCATTGTCTGTTTGCATGTTTTGTGTAAAATCATTTCAGACAATCATCACACAGTGTAGAAACACATCAATCAACACGGTGCAAAAAGTTAAGGTGATTTATTTTTGCACAACCACAAGGAACATCGAGAAAATAAGCAAAGAAAGGAAAAAGGTGGAGTGACACAAGAAGCAGATGATTAGCTCTTTCTCTCTGACTCTGTCTCTCTCATCACGGTGGAATCAGACACAAGAAGGCAGGCCGGCAGGGGTTTTGGTACTGCGGGAGGAGGAGAAGGACGGAGGGGCAGCCTACTCTCTTCTGACTTGTCCCGACTTGAGCCTGGCGACAAAGTCTTTGATTGCCTGTTCCTTGAGGTACGAGCTCACGTCGCTGGTGAAGGTCCCGTCTGCATGGCGCTTTTCATCAGCACTAAAAACACAGCATTTTAAAGTTTTAATAAGCTGTTCTAACACAACACATCCATGTAAAAATCCAATTTTGGCTTGTGAGCTGAAAAAGTTTCTAAATTTAGATGTCTGTTAGCAGCTCCCTCAAAGAGACATCTCTCTCTATTTATAGTATGATGCCCCAAAACTTATAAATATAACCTTTTTGGACTTAAGTGGCTCAATATCTATATCTATATATCTATATCTATATCTATATATATATATATATATATTCTTCTTTCCACTCTCATTAATCATATTTCAACCCCTCAGATTTACCTTGTGACCCTTTGAAGGGACTCAAACTAAACTAGCTGTATATACAGTAGTTTAAAATGCTGCTTATACACTTATGCAATCCAATGATTTCATGTATACTTATCAGTCACAGGACATATTTTTACTATAGAATGAATACTTTTTATGTTCATTTAATTAAGAAGTAAAAAATCTGAGCACATCTTCCACCACTGCTGTTTAGTCCCTTTATCGTTGATTGTAACATCCTGAGTTTGAACATAGCCAGTGTTTCACTGTTTAAATATAAGGCTAACAAGTCAAAGCTCTTTTACAATATAAATTCTTATGATAATTTCAGGAATTTGTTCCCGCACTGACCCGCTCCTCTTGTTGTTCATCAGCCACTGAACAAAGTCCTGCGCCCTCCTCTCCTCCAGGTATTTGCTGTAGTCGTTTGAGAAGGTTCCCTCTGAATGTCTCTTCTTGCTTGCCAGCTCCCTCGGCCCATCCGCTAATGTGTCTGCCTCAAAACTACAGTGCAGGAGGGAGAACAGTATGATCAATTTGATTTCACATGACCAAAATATATGGGTCAGGTTTGCACAGAATTCTACACAACACTTAAGATGATGCAGATGAATCATATGCAGTATATTTATTTGGGGTTGTAAAATGCAGCCTCTGTATCTTCCAAACATATTTTTCAAATCTATCTCATATTTTTCATTGATACAAGAGTCTTCCATTGTTTTAGTTGAATTTTAGCAATTTGATGATCCACATTTAAAGCAGCATACGTCTTTAGGAGAAATGTGCAGTACAGTATATCATACACAGTTTTATTTCTTAAAATTACCTTTATCCAAGGTTATTATAGTTAACTAAAACTAAACTAAAAACTAAAACTGGTTGTGAAAAAAAAATCATTAACAATAAAAACTAGACTTAAGGAAAAAAAGGAAAACTTACTGAAACATTATGTAGCCTATTTACAAAACTAACTACAATAAAATTCATATACATGAAATGTCTCTAATTTTAGTCTTTGTCAGTTTAGTCAAATTTGTGAATTTATTGAGACTGAGATGTCTACATGACTGAGTCATTGCCAAGGCAACTTATCAAATCTTGCCCCTGACAAATACCCACCATATTATTAAAAAAAAAAAAAAATCCAAACATGATAAAAGCGAAACGTTTTAAAACAACAAAAACTAAACTGAAACAAGCAAACTCACTCTGGAAACTAAAGGAAACTAAACTTAACTGAAAACAAAAACTAAAAATTAAATAAAAAACTAATGGAAAATACAAAACTATTATAATTCTAAAAGTTTTATCCTCTTTGTTTTCCTCTTTGCAGGAACAAATTTCAGTTTGAGATCTGTTCTCATGGTTGTCCCCATCACTTTGCAGATTTGGGTTCAATGCCACATATAACCTGACTTTTTACCCACCATTACCACAGTTTTAATTGTGATTCAGTCAGATTTAAACCCTTTTTGCGACAGAGAATTTTCTGTTTCTGTGCTCTGGGGTTTTAATACAAAGGTAGTAAAAGTAGCGAAACCAACTTAATTTGTTTAGATGTGATCTTTGTACCTTGAGCTGTCATCAGCCTCCTGCAGAGAAACCTGCCAGCTGCCCTGGACAAAGCCGAGGACCAGAAGGATACCTGCCAGGGAGTGGATGCTTTTCATGGTTATATCCTGCACCACAGAACCACACACACATATATTGGATTGAATTGGATATTGGATCAGAAAAAAGCTTTAGCTAAAGGTACAATGGTTTCTCCATTACAACAAAACACAACTCACCTATTCTTCTTTCTTTCCAAAGAATGGTGCTGTTAGTTCCTCTGCTTGTTTGTGGTGTCTGTCTCTAACCCTCGTCTCTTACTTTGTGGTCTTATATACTGTAATAGGAGGCGGAAGATGGGTCTGCTCAGGTGGGCCAATTTTACCACTCTGCCAAGTCCACCTGTTACTCTCAACCCATTAGACACAGGCCCCGTCACATCGGCCGAATCAACAAGCCGAGCATTTGTTCAGAGAGGAAAGATGCTATTCATGCGTGATGCCAGCTGGTACTTAGGTGTTAAGATCAAACAACCACGGCTCATCCTGTTAAACAGAAAGTAGGGGAGATGCTTTAATGTGCTACTGTGTCATCATGATGAGAAGTGATACGTGTGCTGTCATATCTGGAAGGCGAGTCAGTGTTTGTGTCCTCTTTCTGATCAAACTTGAAAGATGGGGGATATTGACCAATCCTTTTTGCATCAGTGGCGGTTGTCCCCATTTTTACAAGCGCCATTGTTCAATAAAGGCTGATGTTCTATAAAAATAAATGTTCATGTATTGCTACATGACTCACATACAATCCTATGTATTTTATTTGTTGTAGAGCTATATTAGCATGGTATCAAGACTGAAAAAACACAATAATAATCAGATATTATTCTCAAAAATTCCCATAGATCCAAAGTTTTATACAATGCAATAAAGAGTACTGGGCCCCAGTGCTGTGCGCAGCACATTATGCACCCTAGGTGAGTTTTCCCATCATGCTAGCTTCTTCCATTCGCAGTTTGTGAGACAGTGCAACGTATGTATTAAGTTACCTGAATGCAAGACCTTAAATGCAAATCCACAAAAAAATTAGTAATCAATCATATAATGCTAACTCGATATGGAAACCAAATCCCGACACAGAGACAACTTTCACTAGTAAGAATAAGATTTATAAGACATTTTGTGACCTTAAATTTTAAGAATAAAATGTAATACTTTTTAAGACTTATTAAGAATCCGTGGCCACCCTGTGGTAGTTCAGGAGTGGTGGGGCCACGGTGTCAAGGGTTTTATGGAGGAACAGTTTCTCCAAAACTTTATGTCCAAGGCTAATCCTAATATCGCTATTGGTTCCTCATGACCACACTGTCACGACAGGAGTCAGAATGTAGGCAAGCTATCCCTGTCAGAAAGCGTCTGACAGTTGGACTTTATTGGCTGGCAACTGGGGCAGAATACCACAGCAGCAGTACAGGTACAGCGGCATTCTGTAGTTTCAACTGACTACTCCGATACTGTGAGAGATATGTGCCTTCATAGTGAAGTGCAACGTGGAAAAATCATGTATGTATGGAGAGACACATGAATTCCAATATGACTGTTCTCACAGTGGTCACATGACTAATGATTGTGTATCGGATAGAGGACCACATATAAAACTAGCCCAGATTTGATTGGAGGGTGTCTATTTATTCATAATGTTGCATAAAACATCTGTCTATTCTTAGGTATTAGAAATAAATTGTTTTGGTGCTGATTATCTTTAAAGGCAGGTGAATTTCATTTTTAAAATCTGTGAAGCGAAAGGGGGGAAACTATGCCCCCTTGTGTCCGCTAAAAGGAACTGCGCAAATAAACCACCTTCTGCGTCAGAACAAGATAATGCCTTTTTTCAGTCGAAAATAGTCAGACATGGTTTTGTTAACCAACAGACTAATGAATGTTAACTGTTAAGAGAGACTTTTGGATATACTGGGACTCTTCCTGGTGAGTTGAACTGTTTCTGAGTGAGACATTAAGCTAAACTCACAACTCTTATGCTAACGGCTAATGCAATTGGCTAAGGAAGTGTTAGAGTGAAATTGTGAAGGCTGGGCTTTTTACAATATGTTGTTAGCTGGTTGTAATATTGTACATAAACAGTACAGGTTACATGCACATTGTAGGGTTTGTGTGCGTTGTTGCACCAAGCATAGGTGCATATATTGTGCAGTGCAATGCACTCAAAATGTTTTTTTTTTTTTAACCTGTAGTTTCTCTGTGGCGCCACGCAGTCGCCATTTTGAGACTTCAGGAGAGCCCAGTTTCTTGTTCCCGTTGGTAAGAGACAACCTTTATCACTGCATTTGTTTTTAGTCATTTGTGTACATTGTTAATAATTAATTCTTCGTTATTTATTTACAGACTCCAGGTCCAATGATAAAAACAGACAACAGGTTACTAACAAACAGACAAACAAACAATATAGACAGCACTATGTCTGTCTACACACATATTAAAAAAGGTTCAGTTGTTCAAGCTAATATTTCCAATACATAGAGGTTTATCTTGAGTCACTCAGAGTAGGGTCAGTCAGAGACATTATGATTCCATTCTTGGATCGACACATTCTACACATAAACTTATAAATAAAATTCCTTAGCAAGGCATTGAATGTAGGGATATTACAGGTCACAAACATATGGCTGGCACTTTCCCACTGTGGGTACCTCAATAAGATTCGAAGGGCGTCATTATACGCAACCTTGATCTTATTCATCTTAACTTTGCTATAATTGCACCAGAGGTGTGCTGTATACAGTGGTGTACAGTAGGCTCTAAAGAGAGCAATTTTAACATCCTATGAGCACATGTGAAATTTGCATGCAAGTATATTTGCTTGAGCATATAGCTTACAGCATTGGCGTTGCACATCGTCATTATCACAGAGGTTATCTCGAATAATATGCCCCAGGTATTTAACCTTGGTGACAACATTAAGTTCTTGCTCAGACAGAAAAAGAGAAGGAAACGTTTGCTTTTGGTCCTCCTTAGTTCTGGCTATCATAACCACACTCTTCTTGGTGTACCAATAGTACAAGATATGTATCAAATAGGGGGGGACCCCTCGCTCTTGTAGTATAGTGAACAGCTTGCCATGGTTAATACGATCAAAAGCTTTCGTTGCATCAAAAAAACACATAAACACTGTTGTATTGTGCCTCTTATATTTAGACACTACTTCTTTTAGTGCATACACACACAGATCTGTGCCATGCTCATTTTTAAAACCAAATTGATATTCAGTGGTTGTTACATATTCTTGGAGTCTGCCTAATAAAATCCGCTCTAGCACCTTAGAAGGTGTACTTGCCAGAGCAATAGGTCTGTAGTTATCTAAACTTGATGCTTTACATGTTTTATCTTTAATGACTGGCACTAGTAGTACAGATAACATGGGGTCAGGCAATATGCCATGTGCTAACAGTCCAGAGAAACGGATAGCAAGTAGGATACATAGTCTGAAGCTTGCGTGCTTAAGATGTTCAGTTGTTATCAAATCAAGACCACATTATTTGTTTACCGCTAGTTTCTCAATAGCAGTATACACTTCATCTGACTTTAACCTCCTTCCAAAAAACATTGACATCATTCTTTTGAAGTTTCCTTGCCATGGAGTTAGCTCTCATCATCTGCTCATTCTTTTTAATATAGCGTTTGGCATATTTAAACTTAGCATTTGTTTTTTTTTCCTGTGTTCAAACTCAGGCCCATGTCTGACTTTTCCGGCTAATACCCATCTGTGGAAAGCTTCTTTAGCCTCAGCATTTAAGTCAGACACATGATCATTCCACCCTGGCATGGTTTTGTGTTTTCTTTTCTCTTGAGCAAATTATTTACTGACATTAATTAAACTGGTCACCATTCTTTCATACATTTTAAGTATATCACTGTGATGCTACTGGCTCTTGCAATTTATGTCATCACATATAATGGCTTCACAAGGAATATCAATATTACTAAGACTTATGTCAGTTTGACAGTTGTATTTCCAAAGATCATATTCTGAGAGCTTTGGCCTATTTTTTCACAGTCATGCTTAACATAGCTGGTCAGCTCAGGTAAACTGTCCAGGTCTAGTGTTATGGAGACCAGAATATGGTCTGCTATAGCTAGTCTATACAGAATCTCAGCTTCCACTAAGCAGTTGTGTGCATCAGCTGTGCATATGCAGTGATCCAGCCATGATGTTGTTCAAATGCTGCCCAAACAGGGATTTGTCATCTGACACATCAGAAACAGGGATTTGTCATCTGACACATCAGCATTCATATCACCCATGACAAATACACATGTACATTCACTGTCTTTAATAAAAGAGCTAATAAAAGCTAGTCTATTGAGGTATTCACTTTCATTCTGGTGACATTCATAGGGATTATAAACATATAAAATAATAAAGGTGATCCTCTCATGTGCAACTTTAACTGCAGTGGCCCAGTCAACCTCAAGCCGAATCACAGAAATCAGTGGGTCATATTTCTTATGCCACAGAATGGCCACACCCCCGGGTATTCTGCCACGCAATATGCCCGTACTTAAGTCTGTTGTTGACTCCCCAACCCCATAGAAGTCATTGTGCACAGAGTTAAGTTTATCTAGCTCTTGTTTGGGTAGCATAGTCTCTTGTATACATAAAATATCGAAGCTCTCAAAGAGTGTGAATGATTGTACACTGTTAAAAATGAATCAATTTGAACTAGTAGAATGATGTATAAAAAAAGATAAGGCAGTTGGGTGTAGTTTTTTAATATCATTCTGATTGTCATGTACAGGTCAGGTCTCAATGTCTGATTCAACAAATGATTCAATCCAGAGATGGCGAGGCACTACACCATAGTCCACTGTAATGATGACAAATGGTCAGGAGAAGCTGAAACTCCTTGGATGGGCCTGATTCTGCTTGAGTGGTAGGACGCACTTGCACTTCATTGCTCCTCTGCATATCCTGCAAGGAAAATAAGTAACTTCAAAGTATCAAACTAAACCTACTGAGTTGGTCTCGTTAATTAGCTATTCTGCTCCAGCAGTCAAACCTTGGTGTTGGTCCAGCATCCAACTGAATGCTGAAATTTGTATTCCACTTACTGAATTGTGTGTTTCAGTTAACCCTTGCTCGTATGGCTCACAATTTACTCCAGTTATCTGAAAAATGTATCATTCGACTGAATTAGAATGGGAGAGTGCTGACGGAGAAACGGCACTTCAGAGCAGAGCATGTTTGTTTTTGGGATACCCTACTGACAACTGACAAATGACTTTTCACGCTAATGGAATGAACTAATGGAGCTACAGACTTTTAAGTCGTCGTAGAAAAATGGCATAGAACCATTTGGACCGCATTTGCTTGTAATGTGAGCGTAACCTAAGGGCCAATTTATAGTTTTCGCATCCATGAAGGTCTGCAAGGGTCCGCTTTGGTCCATATGACATAAATGTTGTCTTCCATCCATGTCTATGAAGGTCTGCATTAATACACCAACAGTAATGCAAATTCATATATACATACCGGAGAGCAGAGGCGTAGGTTTTCCAGGTAGCAGAAGGGTGAGAGCCGCAAGGCAGCGGCTTGATGACTACCGATAAACGGAGGCCAAATAGAAGCCACCCTAAGTCAGCAAAATAACATGAGCCAGCCCAACAAAGAGTGAAGTCGTGCAGAGAAAAGGCTCAAAACAGTATCCCTCCAGATCTACTGCCTTGAGATGCGTAAGCTACGCTGCAAATCAAGGACCAGAGGCAGATATAACGTTAATAACACACACTATGAATGTGCAGCACAGGAGAGAAAAAGAAGAAGAATGCACACCTTACAATTGCTCGGACACCTGATCATGAGGAAACACCAGCCATGTCCAGCTTTAGGACACGCCAAACTGTGGACCACACCACACCACACCACACCACGGAAGCCAAGTAGGAAGTGTACGTCTGAGCAACAGTCACCCAGACATAGCACTAAATGGTGCTTCCCAGGGAATTCAGTGCAGTGACAAGTTAGTGGGCAGGTAGAAAGGGGAAAACCCTGCCATTTAGTGTAGCCCTCAGAAATCGTTCATAGGGGTGGCCAGATGGGGCCACTGAAAATCTTGGGATGGCACACCAAAACTAAAATCCATGACTGAATTGCAGGAATTCTTTTACGCTGTTGACGTATACAGGCTTGCTGAAAACTATGTCATTATGGAATGTGAAGGAGTTGCATGCTGATATGCTTTGGTTTCTTATTAGTGTCCGGGCAGCTAAGCTGCCAGGACACTATTGTAATCCTAGGTATTCTTCTTCTTTCTTCTACCGAGGAAATCATACTTCACATGGGTGAAAACTCACCAAACTCTGCACAAAGGTCCAGTCTCATGCCAGATATCCTCAGCTGTAAACTCAAGCCAATAGTCCTGATGGTGGCGCTACAGCAGGCGTCTAAAGTTCAAAACTTCATAACAAATCAACCATACGTGCTACAACTTCACAACTTTCATCAAACTGTAGCCCCAATACTGAAGAAACTTTTGTACATTTAAACCTATTAAAAATTATGAAGTTCATCACTCTGTTTTTTCAAAAACTGTAAAACTTCTTAAACCTATCTCCTCCCACAATTTTTGCTCAATTGACACCAAACTTGCTACAGAGCATCTTCAGACTGTCCTACAAAAACTACGTTTCTCAGATTTTTGATTTATCAAAAATTGAGCCTACAGTGCATCAAAATGTTTGACTGTAAACGGTACTGTAAACATATACATGCAAATTCTTGCTAATAAATCTTCAATGTTCATAAAAAAATGACAAAATTCTAGAGTCATGGTAGATGATGTGTGGCAAATTTCAGAATTTTATCTCAAAAACTGAATTTTTGACAGCATTTTGAATTTTGCTCTAATGTGAACAATTGGAGTCAATGTAAAAATGGCAATTTTAAACATCAGTTTTTCACTTATGGAGCAAATCAATCATTGCTACAAACTACCACAACTACAACAAATTACCAACATCTCCATGCTGTCTAGATGCAATATGTGTATTTTCAGATTTTTGTCTTAATAACTGAATTTTTTACAGTGGTTTCAAATCTGCCTTTCCTACACAACAGTGAATGGCTTACTCAATTTGTGAAGCCACTGTTGAGTTGCTACTTGCCAATTAGCTCACAGTGGTAGATGACTGTCTTAGGCTCCAGGGGTTGCGGATTCGCACCTCAACTGGTGCAGAATCCACATTATAATGTAAACATCTTCTTGTGCTCCAGCTTATTGCTTAAAATTGCCTGAGCGTGACTGATCACTGTGCAGCATCTTCAAGTCTTTTTTATGCTAGAAAATCTGCCTTCTCATGCTTGAAAATAAACCAAATTTTGCACAAAGATCCAGTGTCAATACTTCAGTGTGAAACCATCTGAGTCTTCTCACTTTGCACATAGCTCAACTAGTTAAACATCAGTTTTTCACTTATGGAGCAAATCAATCATTGTTACAAACAAATTACCAACATCTCCATGCTGTCTAGATGCAATATGTGTATTTTCAGATTTTTGTTTCGATAACTGAATTTTTTTTACAGTGGTTTGAAATCTGCTTTTCCATGCATGGACGGCTAAACCTGCACGTCTGGCTTAGTCAATTTGTGAAGCTACACATGAATTGTCACTGACTAATTAGCTCAGTGAGTTAGATATTGATTCTTAGTCTCAGAGGTTGTGAGTTCAAGTCTCAGCTGATGCAAAAGGCAGACTGTGTTACTAAATTCCTAAATGTCTTCCAATTCTTCTGCTTGTTGCTCAGAATCACCTAAAATGCCCGGACCCTACTCATCGCTGCGCAGCAGCTGTAATTTTACCATTGTTCTCACTAATAACTTGATGTACACAGACTAATACCAGTACATTTAATATTTTGAGTTCCAAAACAGTCTTTTTTAATGTGTCATCCATGGTTGTTTGGCAAGTCATTGTTGACCTTTCCTTTAGAAAGACAAATATATAGCTTTAATTTATGGGAATACATTGATTGCAAGGAACAAAACATTTGAGAACAAGCCTTCTCCAGTTTAAAGGAGACTTATGGGTACCCAAAGAACCCATTTTCATTTACCTGTCTTGAGCTGAGAGTTCAATGGCCACACAAATTGTTCCCTTGCCAAATTTTAGCCTAACTTTGGAGTATTATTTAGAACCCAATCCTGACAAGCTGCGCTGATATGGTTGGTACCAACTGATGCCAGAGATTGTCTAGTTTACAAGACAACCACGAACTTGGAAAAAAAAGAATGAATGTGTGTCAAAACAGTAATGTTGGCCTCAGTGGACAGCCTCACTGAGATTTTAGCATGGCTGAAGACTCTTAGTTATGTTAGAAAATTAAAATTAGATAATTAGATAGCTACCATTGCCATGCTTATTTGCCCTAAAACTAAATTAAGAGCATGATGTATCAAACAAAAAGTTGTCATTAATTAATTCTTTATTAATTTACAAAACAATTATTACGTCAAACAGTCAACAATCATAAATTTGGTAAAACTGTATAAAATTATTGTGGTGCATTATGTTTCTGTGCATAATTTAACACAATACTGTAAAAACTCTTCATATCCAAGTAGTACAAGTACAGTTACACCTTCACATTATTATATCAATGTTGTTCCACAGGTCAAGTAACGGCCTTTTCAGAAGTTCACAAAAACAAACATTAGAAAATAAATCACATTTTCCATGTAGATGTGTTAAAAGTAAAAATATAGGATATAATTTCCAGAGAAGCTGCAGACAGAATTTCACATACATAGAATAAGATCATGATTTGGACCACTTTGTGTTTGTGAGTTTCCGCTCAAGACTTTTTCCTGGCATTTGGAGCACTGATAATCAAGCCTGCATTCACGATTAACGACTTTATCCAACATTTTGTTATTCACGTGACGCAAAGAAAATATTTCTTTATCATCCAGTGGGTTTCATGCAAAGCACCTCTGTAGAAAGTGACTCATGTGGGTGTAGACATGTTGATAGGCCGAGCCGCCGAGCCCGTGATCCTTATCTGTGTACCACTGAAAGAAGGCACAAATTTTTTTATTTCAATATCACTAAGCCTCAGTCTTCCAGTAATTCTACTCTGGGTTTTCCAGATAACTCACCATCGCCTCAAAGTCCACTTGCTCCTCCACCAGAGCCTCAGAGATCTCGGCTGCCTGCTGGAAATGAACATTGTCTAGAAAACACAACAACGTTTAATTAATGAGGCTTTCAATACAATCTGCCCATTTTGGTCTAGACAGGTCGGGGGTTCATGCGGGACTTGACCACAGACTTTTCCAAACTACCATGTTATGACCCAAAGTGTTGGTCATGAACAGAGTTTGATTGTATGCTGGCACTATAGATTAAAGGTCAATAGGTCAACAAAATCCTAACAACATTTTCTGAAAGGCACGAGTATCTATGTTAAATTTTAGAGGAGCAGTTCAACATTTTGGGAAATACACTTGTTTGCTTTTTGCTGAGTGATAGATGAGAAGATAGATACCTTTTTCATGTCTGTATGGTAAAGATGAAGCTACTGCAGTCACCAGTGTGAACGATGCAAATTTACCTATACATGCTTTGCCATGCTGGTGGGAGGGTGGTAAAAGCAAACAGATGGGCATTTCCTCTGTTAGTGCTCAAAGCCAATCTGGCCTGTCTGAGAGTATCTTTAATTTTATTTGGTAGCTGTTTTCCCTTTTGCCCCATAAGGCTATCAACCTGGGCATATACTAGAGCTTTAAGCCTGTGCTCTGGAGAATGATTGGAGAGAAGCATTGTCAAACAGAATAGTGGAGTGCTCAGTTTTGAAGGACACTTGAACCAATGCCTGCTCAAACTTGTGGTAGCGTGGTAGCACACCATGTAGTCTCCTGTGTAAAGCGTTGTAGCAAGGTTTGCCTTGATGTTGTGCAGCTGTCTGACTAAGAGCTTACATTAGCAGTTTCTCGCTTCCTTGACTGAGTTGACTCCTGAAACTTTTCATGTGCTTCTCTGAGCTTCTCAGGTGAACTTTAAAATTAGTGGGATTTTGTTCTTTTAGCTGTACCCCACAAATATCATCGTCCCTCTTCATCACGACGCATTCAGGCTACTTTTGTCTGCTACAGGGTTGTAGTCAAAGTATTTCTGTATAGATCTGTGCTGCTTTCTACCAGGAACGTCAGTCAAGCATCTCCTTATTTTTCTTCATCTGCTTCTTCCTCCACTTACACTTCTTCTAATTTTATGGCAGCCGGTGGCATCTGCTAGCTGTTGTGTTGACACTCTCTGGGACTAGTCCGTTACTGTGTCATCAGGCAGTAAAACAGAACAGGAGTGTTACACACCACAGTGCAAATGGAGGTAAAAAAAAAAAAGAAAAATTAAGTTTATTTTACCTGCAATTCTATGTAGTGTTTTTTTTGTAGTTTTCATGTTTTTGAAAACTGGTGCTTTTAGAACATGACTTATCGGTAGTACTTTACAAGATGTAAATTACTAAAATTTTCAAGTTAATAAATAAAGAGTGGCCCTGTGTAACTCACCGTCAGCTGTTCCATGAACCAGAAGATACTGCACCGAATGGAAATTCTTGGCCCGCTCAGTTACTGTAGAGTTCTGCACACAATCAGATTTGTGTTTATCAGTGACCACAGGCGTAGCTAATAATGCCCGTCAGATACAAGAGATGGTCTTGATGTCCCTGAGTGTACAACTTACAGTGTAGGCAAGGGAATTCTCTGAAGGCTCCATCATGTAACGCTCTGTGTAGATGGAATCTAAGAGATCATTGCAGATATTGTGTGTCAGTAAAGTGGGAGGGTTGTTAACATGAAGCATTAGCTTAAATAAACATATAAATATATATATATAGAACTATGTAAATACCATAATATTTCCATTTGGACACTGGAGCGACCGCCATTCCACATTTGAAAACTCCACTTCCTGATCCCAAGGCCATTGATGTCACGTATCCACCATAAGACTGTGAGAGACAATCAGCTTTTTACTGCAGCTCATCCTAGCCTTTCTGTAAAGTCCTGACAGCAGGGTGAAACATTAACTCATTTTCAGAGCCATTTATTGCCCTCTGAACTATGGAATAACACATGAATATTGCTTTAGGAACACAATAAAATCATCTTTGTGTTTGTAACATTTTTTGTTTTAATACACTCGTTCTTCAATAAAGGTATTGTAATACAAAGCCTGGCAACTTACCCAGCCCCAAATAGCAACTCTGTCTTTGTCAATGTAACCGTCTTTGATGAATCTCCTAAAATACAAGAAAGACAATTGAGGGCAGTAAATAAAAAGGATGTAAACTTGGCTTCTGATCAACGTTGCCACCCGCAGACTCTCATGACCTTTCCTGTGTGTCAGTGTACACCTGGTAGAATTTCACAGAAACAAGTCAAATCCAGTTTTCTCAAACAGAGAGTGAGGCTGTTTGTTTGAGCGGGAGATGCACTGACTTGTCTAAACTGCTCCTCGCTTTCCTCACCTGGCCGCCGTTATCTGATCTTCCACCTCATAGGTTCCCAGACGTTTGTAGATTGCGTGCATTATCTTGTCGCCTTGGTAACCGCTTCCTCTTCCGTCAAAGCTGGCGACAATGATTTTCTCAGTGCTGGCCAAATAGGTGGACCAGCTCACTCTGTAGATGTAGTCTGCTTTCTGACTGCAGGGACCAGCATACCTGGAAGGTTGGGTAAAATCTAGTATTAGTTTATAAACTCTCTTTTGAAAAGCATTTCTGATTATATGTTGCTTTTTTATGTAGAGAAATTCTTACACATCTATCAGTAAAGGATACTTCTTGGATTCATCAAAGCCTGGTGGCAAAAACATCTGGTACCAGAGTTCTGTCAAAAATATGAGCATCCATAGAAAGATGTTAGTTAATTATTCATGGTTCATTAAAACTTTTTTGCTTCCAAGTAGCTCCTGACCTACAGGGGTCAGCCCCTTCCAAATGGTCAGAAAGTAAATTTGGCGGTTTGTGAGTTTATTAATGGAGTAGGAAAGAAGATAAGCTAAGTGCTGCTACACAAATTTAAAATTGCCTTTTGGACTTTTCTTCAGTTCTTGCTTTTTGTGAAATATTGGATTTTACTTCTTTTGGCATCAGACTGTAAGAGGGACAATTCAGCATTTTGGGAAATATACTTTTTCTTTCTTGCTGAGAGTAAGCAGAGAATATTGATACCACTCTCATATCTGTACACTAAATATGAAGCTACCGCCACTAGTTTAGCTTAGCACAAAGACAGAAAAAACTGGGAAACAGCTAGCTTAGCTCTGTCAATGCTAACTAAATCCAACTACCTGCACCTTGTCTGTTTAATTCGTACAAGCTGGAGTAAAATAAACTGTGAATCACCATTGATCACTTACTGTATCCTTCAAGTGTGATGGTGCCTCGACGCATGGTGGGCATCTGGATGTCAGATATCAGGCTGCTGAATGCTTTATTGTCCTCCAAAACATAGAACTCTTCAAATGTTAAAATACAGAAAACAAATTAGAAAAACATTTTCTCCTCTTTGGTATTATTTCAGATTAAAATTCAAATGTGTGGATTACCTTTATTAATATTATTTCTGTTATCCATGAGAACATGGTAAGGAATGCCAGGACCTTTGCATAGAAAGATAGAACAATATTATTAGCTCTTGTAAAATCAACCATCCATGTATACTCACAAATACAGATGCTCCTTTTTGGCTCCTCTTTGTAATAAGTCATACAGATATACTGTATTCAGAATATATTGTATGTAGTACACATTAAGGCCCTGACACGCCAAGCCGACAGTCGGCTGTCGGCCAGTGTTGATCCAAGTGTCCATCGCCCTCGTTTTTGTGATGTGTCCTGCGCTGTTAGCACTAGTTGGCTGTTGTTGGCTTTTTTTCAGACAAATCAGCATGTTGAATCAATGCGTTATGTATTGATGTGCAACTTTTTGGCCAAGACACAGGCGATGTGAGGCGACGCAGCAGTCAGCCTTTGTTGCCACTAGTTCTTGTCGGTCAATGTCTTGTCAGTGTTGGTTTTCTTCTTGCCTTTATGTACCACCATAGGCCAGTCTCTATTGATGAGACAGGCAGCTGAGCTGAGAAACGTGGTGACCGTGAGTTGTCTGCAGAGAAAGACCGCAGGAAAAATCAGGATATTTTCACATCTAACTCAGTGAATTAAATGGTTTTCCAATTCAGTGAATTAATTGGTTTTGATGTGTTGAATTTTGTTGCTGTCAAGTTTGAATGAAGTGTGTTTTACAATGACTTAACAAGGCAATTAAGCAAATCTTAGTTCTGTGAAAGAGAGAACCTTGAATTCAGAGGGGGAGCAGTTGTATTTCTCTATTTAATAAATAAGTAGTGAGTAAAGTACATATATATAGTAAAGTATATATGTATATACATATGTGTGTATATACATAGCACAATCAGAGAGGGACAGGAAAAAAACTGACCACTGCAGCTCAGACGGTAGAAGGAGGCATCGTGACTGAAGTAGGCTGAGTTATACAGACAGTCGTCTCCACGTATTGCACAAGTCAGACACTTAACTGGTCCTTGACCTGTCAACCTGACACACACAAAGGCACACATTTAAGTCTGAAGAAATGCTTTGGAATTAAAAATTATGTCTGTAAATCAGAGACAAAAAGAGTAAAACAGTAAATTAAAGACCCTTACTGGTAAACATTCCTTCCTCCAGGTTTTTTGTCCTTTTCATTGCTTGAATAATATCTGTGGAGTAAGTTGTATGAATGAGTACAAAGGAATTTTCAGACTGTAGCGAAGGGGGAATTCAGCTATGGGACCTCATCATTTAGTGACAATACCACCTTTTTCAGAGACACCAAATTAAGTTTGGCAAAGCGCATAAATAATACATTAGAGACATTAGAAGGTCGATTGCAATTGGAATAAAACGTAACTAGCAGCTAAAGAATATAGGATACTGTACAGAAGGATCGCTTCAGGGAACCCAGAGACGCTATCACATACAGAAATTTGGCACTGATGGATTTAACGAGAATAAATACTTGGCAGTACTGACGTAAGCCAGTCGGAACCCTTTAACCCTATGGGCCCTAGGCCTTTTTTGGGGTATTTTTACTGCCTTTACTTTTAAGCTCATATCACAGTCATTATAAAGGCTACATACACATGCCATATCTTGTTTTGTTTCAGGACAATCTGGGCTATCCAGATTTGCCATCATTACATGTCCTTCTATGTGCCTGTATTTTATATTAATTTTTATATCAATGAAAAAAACAAATCTGTGTTACTAAATTCTTACATTTTTACATGTGTCTCAACATAGCAAGTTGGAAGTTGACATATTCTGCCATATATGAAGTGGGGAGACTCTCTGGAATCTGGCAATATAAGAACCATGGTGGTGGGACATTCTGTCACTTCACAGTTGTCCAAAACATGTGGTTTGTGCCAGGCAGACATGATTGCCAGTATTTTTTCATTATTGCAAGAAATTCCACTGACTCATTCACAAGTCAAAAATGTGTTTTATCTGAAAGAAACATGCAATATTTACATCTAAGATGATAGAAAAATAGTCAACCAAGTGCAATGATGTCCTCCAAGATAATATTTGCCACTTTGCAGTGAAAAAAAATTGGGGGGACATTTTGGGCATTGGGGGGACGTGTCATGTATATGCTGACTACTGCCCTGTCATGCATGCATAATTAGGCTACAGTTGTCTGGGTGCGCAAAGGGGAAGTGTGCTGGTCTTGTCATACAAAGTTTGATGGAGTGTCAACTGGGCAATATGGAGATATTTGCATCTTGAAAGCTGGACTACAAACATGGATAGACAGGGAGAAACACATGCAAGTCTAAGGGGGTGATTATACAGAAATGAGACGCTAGAGACGCGGACGCTTCAAAGACGCTTGAAACGCTGGAAGGGCTTATTCAATGTGTGCTAGACAAAAAACCAGCAAGGAGCGCCTGTGGAGTGGGGATGCGTGCGCAACACACACACACACACACACACACACACACACACACACACACACACCTCCTGTCATCTCCCTATCTCTCCCCTTGAATATAGTGACAGTACTAGCTTACATGAAACTATCACGAGCTATCAAATCAAATCCAACTTTGTTTATATAGCACTTTTCATACATAAAAATGCAGCACGAACACTGTGAACTACGAAATAAGGTCACCAGCCCTCACACATATCCCACTGTCTGCTCGCACAGCTCAATGCGTGTCTCCTCCTGTGTTTGTTCGAGTACTGAGGTGTGCATGTGTTGTATAATTCTTAAAAATCAAATATTGTCAGGATAAATTTCTCCTCTTTGGATTGCATTGTGTTGTCTGTCACTCATAACTGCTGTAAACTGCCATAACTGACCAAACTGCCGTAACTGCCACAACAAAACAGGAAGGAGGATTTGATTGGCTGCCTGGGCCAATGACAACAGTGACGAATGGTGCTACTGGCGTCTGACGCTCAAAAAGTTGAAAATATTTTAACTTTTCAGCGTCTACGCGCGTCTAAAAATGCGCGTTTAAAAACGCGTGTCTAAAAAGACGCCTGAAAAACACCTGTCTAAAAAGATGCTTGAACGCCATATCATAGGAAAACAATTGTTTTACTGGCGTCGCGCTTCTAGCGTTTCATCTCTGTGTGATCGCCCCCTAAAACGTGGTAAGATACGATATTCCTCACTATATGAATTGACTGATAAGATCTGTATAATGGATTGTAAAGAAATTTGTCAGGATTTTATTTTGGAGACAATTGATCTGTATTTATAGTGTGATGGGATGGCAGCACAATGATCCAAGAGTAATGTGTGTGCAAAGCTGTATGAAAGCTCTATTATACATAATTTTAGTGTAAATGTGTCATTTTTTTCCGCTGTGAAAACATTGGACTACTGACAAGTGCCTGGTCTTGTCGGAAAGCTATGGTTCTGCTGTTTCACATGATATGTGTGGCTTCTCGCTATGATGCACGGTTGCGGAAAAAATCCATAGAGAAAACAGGTGTTAATTTGGACGCACTATGCGTCGTTTGGGCCCATAGGGTTAAAGTACCAAGTTCTTTACCAAACCTACTGTTCAGTCCTACAGTTTTGAACTATCCATTATGCTTTGTCCTGTAAGAGAGAAGTTGTGTGCATGTCAGGTATTATGGGTGTGTATACATCTGTATGCAGATGATGAACAACTTACACACTATCTGCAGTTACTTTCAGAATGTCAATGACTTCCCATTCTCCAGAAGTGATTGGTGTAGCTTTGCCCTGCATGAGTCAGAACAGATTATGAGTGGGTGGGAACATGCTAAAACATTTTTTGATATTGTGCAATATGTGCGATATTCTACAAGTCTCAACAAAGAACTCATTTTGCTGGTATAATATTGGATCACTGGCTAAAATAGATCATACTGCCTACCCCAACAACATGATGGATGTGCTTGTACTCTTTGGTGTCGCTCATCAACAGGTAGTAGCTGTTCTTGTCAGCAGCAAAAACTGGCTCTGGTGGAGAGAACTAGGAAGAACAAGTGTGTTATCATATATTCTCTGATTTTTTAACAACAAAAGAACTCAGTGGCACGGATTTGTAAGGCTATGGATACACATACAATACTTGTTAGAAGTATGGCTTTGGTCTTTTCATGGAATTCATGAAAAGAAAGATATTGAATATCCTTTAAAAGTGTGCTGGACATACCCGTCCAATCCATCCGGTGGAACTTTTCACCTCCAGATGCTGTAAGAAATACAACCAGTTTTTATTGCTGCACTAAGAAAGACTTTATAACAGTATAGCAGCCTTATCAGTGTAAATACAAAGAGACATTGCAACACAAAAATTAATTTAGAAACCTGACATGGAAAATGTACAGGTGGCAAGGCCTTTCTTTGCATCAAGCTGAACATGTCTGAACTTTTTGCAACCAGGTTAATTTAAAAACCAACAGTGTAAGCGCCACTTTAATCACCACCAAAGAAGTCTACAGTAAGAGTTTGTGACATGGAGCTCAGGAAAATAAATGTCCATGATTCAGCTAAGTTTATATGTAGGTCATGTTATATTCTGGGTAGTTTAAAGGATAGGTTGAAATAAGTCTGTGGTAAAACAATACTCAGATGACAGTATGTACTTTTCAAGTGTTAAAGGTTGCTGCATGTGTCCCTGTTGTCCATATACTGGAATGCATTTTTAGCCTTGCTAAGACCGGCACGTATGTGTACATCGCAAAATGTCAAGGTAGCGTCCCCTTTTTGGGCATACAAACCCAAAGATCCTATTGATATCAATGCAATTTGACATGTGTTTGGATAATAATTTTGACATGTCTGTATGCATTTATTTCTTGTTAATCAAACATTTGTTTTATAGACATGTCTAATAATTGCTTTGTGCCCTTGCCTGAACCTAAGCTTCTCAGATACCTTAATATGTTAAGGTTGATAACCGTTGTGTCCCTCCAGTCTTCTTCCATCCAAGTGGATCAATGACTCAACACAGTGGCTGGATATTACATTTTTGGACATCTTTATTTGATGAAATCACCAGATATGGTTAGGCCAAGTGTTGTCTGTAAATAACCAACCTGTTATTTAGCCAACTGTTGATTTTTGGCAGAGATTTAATTGGAGATGACAGTCATGCTGTTGTACTGTAAGACTGTACTGCAGCAGCCTTGCACTCAAGCTAACGTTAGCTGTTCATCAGTAGTAACTGTCACCAGCATCATTTACAATAATGACAGTAAATATTCATGTTTATTTTGTGCCTTAAATCGCAGTGTGAACGCCTTGGTTTACCCGCTACAATACAGCTTTCCACCATTTTCCTGTTTCTCTCCTTATGTAAAAGCACATTTCTTTTCACCAAAAGGGGACACAGAGTTAGCGTGGACGGCCAGTTGATCTGTAACTTGAAGCCAAAGCCTGAGCTGCTATCTTCTCTTTTTCTTACGACATGGCAGGGATAGAAATCAGAGATAAGCGTTTTTGGATTTATCGTTGGTGCAACCAGCTCTACAGCAACTTTTTGGCATATCATTGTCAACTGAAACCAGTTTTTTTAAAGTAGAAATTTGGAGACATGTTTCAGTCTGCTCTATGTGCACTGTTGCAGTTAGTACTGATATTAGCATTGAGCTCAAAACATCAGTGTCTATGCACAGCCACATGGAGCCACTGCATTAGTTATTGCTTCAGGAAGAGATATTTTCACAGCCAGTATGAATAAGAGGAACACTTACATCTACAAATAACTTTTTCAGTGTACATATGACAATGTGAATTTTGTTTAAAGACAGACTTGAACAAGGTTGACCTATCCCATAATCATATAAAGAATTATGTGTGGCTGCATTCAGCTCAGCAATGCATGGCAGCTGGTTAGCAGTTGAAATGAAGGCAATTTAGACAAAATAAACTACTTACATATCTATAAAACCTGACCGTATCCCCACTTTCAGTAAACAGTGTTGCTGTGTGTAGGTTTTATTGGTACTGAAATGTTTTATGTGCTGAAAAGTCATCAATAGCTGCTTGCAATTTTACACTAGCATTACACAAAGAAAGTAACTGTGTGTAACGCCAGTGTAAAATTTAAGGCTATACATTGCTCTAATGTAGAAAAACAATAATAATTGTTCATAATATCATGTTTTACCTCAGCACGATCCCATGTAGATTCACTAAAATTGTAGATCTGTAAGATGAGGTGGTTTTGTACTCTCTTCAGCCATTGGACAGCAATACGTTCATCTGTCACCCAAGTAACAGTGGCCAAGTAGTGCTCACTGAGGGCAAGAAAAAAAAAGATGGCACTTTGTTGTCTGTTTCTGATTTCCATTTCTTGATACAAAGCTAAAGAAAATAATAGAGGCTGTTTGATTACCTCATGTTGAATGGGGCTGGAACAACAACCTCAGTAATACTTGTTACGTTGTCAGTGTCCACAACAAACAGTTTCACAATAGGGTTGGGAGTACCAGGCTGCACAAGAAAACAATGTAAGATACACTTATTGACATGCGATCCGAAGATCCGAGTACAAGCTTGTTGGAGTCAAACAAGCCCTAGATGGATGTCCCACCTTTGGATATGGAATGGAAACAGTGCTGGGGTACTGGTTGTCGCCATACCAGGAGTACTCTATACTATGGACCTCTGTGTCGTTGAACTGAGCATAAGCCACGTACTTCCCTCCAGGTGACCACCAGAAGCCCTGACCGGATGAAAACATTTCCTCTGGAAGGGGGAAAGTGTGGAGATGAGTTAGGATTCAGGACTGCATTAGGGGTCAGGTTTAGGGTTCAATTCCCACTACAACACCTGTGCTAAAAAATACATGTATTGATGAACCTGTAGGCTGCATGTTGCTGTTTTCGTATGCAGGTTCTTACTGCAGCTGAAGAATTTCATCAGCCTTGTTTTATGTGATTATTTAACTATCCTACTTACAAAATGCATTGTCATAAACAAGGACAGTTATTTGCTCCTTCCTGATGTGGCATGCTGGAGAAGAAAGGATTTCAAAACATTTACGGTAAATCTGTACTACAGTGTCACACTATCATTTTCTGATCAGAAGACAATATGGGTGTGCAGTGTAAAAAGTATACGGAAGTGAAACTTCTCAGAAACTGACTCAGAAAAGTAACTGAAGTACAGATTATAGAATGGTTGTAACTCATCTGAGAATGTAAAAGGTCTCATACAGTACTTTGGTGAAACAATTAATAGACATCTAAAATGTGACAAAGACCCCAAACAGATATAATTTTTTTCCAAGGGGTCACAAGCCCCAAAGGTTAGAGACCAATGGTACAAGTATAAATAAACATAAAATGGATATACAGGTACACCAAAATAGTACTAAAGTTTCAACCATTGATAGTTTGTATGTTTGTATCCAACCCTTTATGTGTTAATGTCTTATTTTGGTAGCTGTTGTCAATGTACTTAAGTCAGTAACTCAAGTTAATTCCCAGTTAGTTTATTCAGTATTTAAACCTGACATTAAAATGTGATCTGTATGAGGCAAAGGCCAGTGGATCAGATGTCATTCTAGATAATTTATAGTGAGATACACATCACATGTCAAAGGGTCTAGGTTGAAAATACAGAAGTTTTCCTTTAATACCAGGTGGAAATGGGCCCTTATTGTTTGACATACATGAATTCTCTACACAATGTGCCACTTACCTTCATACACCCAGTCCGGGATCCCATTCAAAATCAGATTCTCCTCCCCATTGAAAGTGACTTGCTGTGAGGGCGACCCGGGGCTAGTCTTTATATACACATTATTTTTCCAAACATAGGCCTGAAAATACAAGAAAAATATAAATAAATCATTCAGTAGAGACAGCTTGGTTTGTTTTCTGAACCCTAACAAACACAGTTTGAGCCCTTTTTGCTCTGCTCAAGTGTTTGGTAAGGGTTGTGCTCGATTGCCTCGTCTATCACCCACTTCAAAGCTGAAATGTCATTCAAAGTTATGCACATACAACCAATCATTTGTGTGTCCAGGCTTACCAGTTTGTGGCCTTGAGGAGCCCAAGCAAAGTACTGGACTTCGTCAGGAATGTCAGATGGTGTGAAAAATTTTCTGAAACAAAGTGAAAAACGTACTATTATTTTATTTCAAAAGCAATATTCCACTTTAAATGCAAAACATAGACCATTTGGCTGATGCTTTTAACTGGAGTGCATTGCATTATTATGAGTGCAAACATTTAACCATCTATAGGAAGCAAAATACTTTGTGTAGGTGTAAAAATAAAGCAATGAAAACACATTGTTCAGGTACTTACTTCAACTCCAGGTCATAAAGTGAATATGAAGCTGTAAATGAATGCCGCCACAGCTAATGGGACAAAAAAAAAAAAAAAAAAGACAACGCTGTGGCGTTATCACTTCATGAGAATATGCATCAGATTTAAGTGACTAAAAGCTTAGTGTACCTTGGAATGGTTGCTCATGAATGCAACATATTTGTGGTCAGCGGACAGCTGATAATCATAAGCATCCTTTTCGTCCTGTGTAGGGAAGAAGAAATCTGTTGTGAGAGTTTCATAGAACCCTGCTCATGACCTCACAGACAACACTGCATTTGTTTGGATAGGTATGTAGTTTCCATGCTGATTTCATGTGGTTTATGTTGCTGACACAAAAGATGCATACAGACGCAAACGAGAAGCACGACTTACAAACTTGTCTTTGCTCAAGAACTCCTCTGACCCTCCTGTGAGGATGTTCTGGAGGAAGACTGAGCCCTGGGACTTATTCAGAAACTCATGATCTGTGAAGGTGAGAAAAACCACGTGCAAAATTGAATATTAGATTTAAATCATGGGGCAAGCAAACAAATCCCTTAAGACATCAGCCTAACACTTAATAATAATGGTTCAAAACACATGCAAGTAATACAAATGCATGGATCATGATTATTTATGAATGAATGCAGGATGTTTCATGAATTCTTGCTGCTCACCATTAAGAGATAATCAAGTTTATGTGATTGGTTAACACTTAAATGGCCACTCTGCCAGTGGTGCTCCTTTGGGAGGAACCAGGGAAGAACATGGCCTCCCAAATACGATTAAGTCAAGTCTTTGGTTCTGGTACAGCGTTGTGTGGGTCTGTGTTGGAGCAGAAATGACAGTCTGCTGCTGCTGTTGTTGTTGTGTGTGGGTCTGATTTGCTAGCATGTGCTCTTGCATAATTTGTTGGTGCCCCTGACTACAACAGTTGTTATTGGTACATGCCCCAGGAACTTGTGTAGTGGATTTGATCTATAATCATCCACAGACTGCAGACAAGCAAGATACAGTAAGGATTGTAAGACTTCAGTTTACTGAGGCATGCACCTGCACTGTACTGGGTATCCTTTGCGTCTTGGACAAAGAGCAGACCCCCTCCCTGATTGTCATTGTACAATTTGCACTCTGAATATAGGGTTCCATGAGAACTGTATTCTGGTCAGGGTTGAAAAACCTCTGAAGCACTATTTTACACACCACTCAGTGTTTAACTTGCTCCTGAAACCTGGCAACTCTAAGTAGCACTTAGCAAGTGCTTCAATATCAGGTGTACAGAGTCATCCAGTGGGCCGGATTGGACCCTTTGGCAGGCTAGTTCATGCCCCTAGTCTAATCTACATTGTATAACTTAGAATCAGCATATTACACTTTAAAATCGATGCTTGACAGCATCTCTCAAACAAAGTGTCCACCCAATCATATTTTAAAGGCATTAATGACTCGGTAGACATCTGTGCACCAGCTGTGTGGAGTGGATTCCCATTATGTACTGGTCTGTTTCGTGGAATGAGCCCCTACAGGCCTGCAAGTTAATAAGGAAAAAAAAAACAAATTACTTCTCCTGACTTACATTTTGGGAATTGCGCGGCCCAACTTTTACTTTTACATACTTGCAACTAAAGGCATCGATATCTTGGCATCTGCTGCACAGATTTTGACCATTCCTTTTTTTTTTAGATGATTTTTTCTGGCTTTTGTCTTATTTGACAGGACAGATTATTCACATGAAAGGGGGAAGAAAAAGAGGGGATGATATGCAGCAGAGGGCAATGGGTTGAAATCGACCCCTGGCCACTGCAGCAAGAACAGTGCTTTTGTACATGGGACCCCCGCTCAGCTACTGTGCGCCCTAACCAGTCTTTCTTTTTTTAAAAAAAAAATCTGTCTCTTGTGAGTCCATCGTACTTCCATAAAATTCAGCGTTGGTGGGCAAAGTGTTGCTGACCGACTAGTTTCTGTTCTGATTTTGCTTTTGAAATGCATTTTTTTGTTCCTGCTCCTTGATTCCAGCTAATTTGGTTGCACACAGATTTACAGTCATTCACTGATGATTCTTCAAGTGTTAACTCATCACATATACTCATAGTGATTTGATCATTCCTTAAAGGGTCATTTCAGTATATTTCAACTTGGACCCTATTTTCCATGTTATTGGATGTAAATGACTAATCGGAACAACAATTTTTGAGATTGGTTCATTAATGAGAAAGACCATCACAACCTGCAGCAGTGAAACAGGCTTCATTGTAATCCTTGCAGGCAATTGAGCACCATCATTTTATGTTCACTGAAAGTGTTTTTGACACTGACAGGTGCAGATTATCATACTAAGTGCCTGATAACATTATGGAAAAGATCCTTACAGTGATAGAGGTTTTTGTTAAAGAGTAAGATCCTTTAACCAGAAACAACCTCGAAATCGAAGAAGAAACAGTAGTTTTTATCATTGCAAAGCACTTCATTGAACGATGATAGAAACAAAACAATTGTCGCAACTACCGACTTGGCTCATCTCTCCACTGCTCCAACAATCACCAGCTCTGGTTTGGTTAAAATAAATCATTAATTCAACAGTTGGATGTAATGACATGCTGGCTCTATACATGCTAAAATTGCTGTTTATTTAAATGGAGTCTGGTGTGTTTGGCAATGGTGATTTTGGGTTTGTTTCTTATTAAACAAAAAGGATCTTACTCTGAAACAAAACAGTCTGTCTCTGTTGGGATCATTATCAGACACTTGTTATAACATTCTGAGCCTGTCAGTGGCAAAAACAAACACTTTCAGTGGATGTAAATTGACGGTGCTCAGTTGCCCCCAGGAATTACAGTACAGCCTGTTTCACTGGACAATTTCAAAAATGGCTGCTTCCTTAATCACATAGGATGGCAGAGGAGATACCTGCACACTAATGTAACTGGGCTAGAAAGCCACAAAAAGTCCACACGCTGAGATCAATGCAAAAATAATCCATTTATGGAGGCATCTGTGCACAAAAAAGGTGCTCAAGTGCAAAATAAAAATGGTAAAGAGTGAGTAAAAACAGCAGCAAATATTTCAGTCCTTGAACTATCAAAATGAGGATGTATTTGAGTTTTTGCATTGATCTCAGCCTGTGGACTTTTTTGTGGCTTTCTAGCCCAGTTACATTGGTCGTCCTTTCTGGTGTGTCTCTTGTACCAACTCACCCAAAATAAACTTTTACATGCATGGGCTTAAATGAGGGGATCAATCCAAGTCAATAAGTAACCAGAGAGAAGGAGAATACTGTAGCTGATGGATAATAAAGTATCCTCAGTGACACATTTACGCTCCTTTTTACAGGTTTAATTCTCCCACCTGAGATCCACCTCATGCCAAAGGACTTCGGTTTCAGTGTATTGTTGAAGACATCCTCCAGGGTGAAGGATCTCTTGTTCTTGTTCTCATCCTTCTCCTCTGAAACACACATCAGAAAGTTAGAGCTTGGCAGGAACTTGAAGGTCACAAGTTACAGATATGATATCAAACATACGCACACCATGATCACTATCATAAAATGAGCTCAGTGCTGTTAAAGCTGTAACTGATAATGACAAGTGGAATATTACTTACGTCAGTGTGTATTTGAGGGTCATAATGGGAATTGTCAGTGTGTACTGAGTGAGTGTGATGCTATTTGAGGGCGCGTGCTGTCTCAAAGAAACTAAATTGTGATCCCCTTTGTGATGTAACACCCTGATTTACGCCATACATTAAATAAAAAAACAGTTTCCATTAGGACATTTTTGGTGCATCAGTGAAGAATTGCAATTTAAATCGGTCCTAACGCATCATGCGTAATGACGCGTGCGTAATGCACTTATCTTCGGGTGTGTTTAATGGCGCGTCGGATCACAAATGATGCGCTAATGCCAACATGTGAATCATTTAAAAGCAAAGTCTTACCTTTCAAAAATATAGCCGTGGGTACCGCTATCAAAATGACGACCACCGCCACCCCGAAGACTCCGAGTAGCACCTTAGCGATGGAAACCTGCGCAGAGTTGAACGGACAAAAGTCAGAAAAGCGCTCCAAAAACGCTCCCTGTGAGGCTCACCCTGACATACCATCGACATGTGAGTATAAAACCAAACACCAACCATTGTTTTCTGCGCTTAGGTGAATTGTGTGACCGATATCCGTGTAAATCACAACTCCATCGATCCGGGCGGCTGCACGCGCGGAGAACACTAAAGTTAGAAGATAGGCTGCTTTGCTGTTAAATATTATCTCAACTGAAGTTTCAAAGGTGGGACAATAAATGTCCGGCGGAGTAAAGTTCGTCAGCTTTGATGGTGTTCCAGTGTTTTGAGGAAGTGTGCGGCTGCCTGTCAGGTTGTTCCCCAGACTGTCCGCTATTCAAAACATTGATTCATTCATACGTCGATGAAAATCGTGGCCATAAAGCCGTCTTTTTAAACATTTTATGACCGTTATTTTACATGCAAACAACAAATTACATAAAACAAGTTGCATTTTTTGTTCAAAACCGCAACAAGTTTATACTGTATATTAATAAATGCATTACTCATGTGTAACAGGGACTTCCCACCAAGCACCAGACGTCCATGGATGTTATGATTATTCCGTTTACTGAGAGAATAGCATGAAATAGTCATAGTGTGGCTGCACAGTTAGCTCTCAGACAGGCTCAGGCACTGACTCATGGTACTATGTTTGCTTATTATCATGCAGCTGCCCAGGCAAACAAATTCCACCTAAAAGAAAAGCAGAATGCAGAATATTGTACATAAAATACATCTTTAAAATACAATTAATATGCAGAGTATAAGAGATGGCTCAGGCAGTATGTAGAGTTTAACAGATTCATACTGTACAGTCCTGTCATACATTTAAGGACCTTCAGCTGTCAGGGTCAGTGTGAGCATCTACTCATGCCACCTAATGAAGGATATTCACCAGCACATAAGCACCCACTCCAGACTTCCATTTGCTAATTTGCTAATTTAAAGTTAGACATGGTGGATTTTTAAATGGTGGATGTGTGTATTTTTAGACTGGACGTGCTTTTTAGGCTGAGAAAAATTAAGAAATAATGAATAAAATCATGGACCAGCAGAGTTTATTTCTGGCGGAGTGGAGAACATTCTTGGAAAACAGCTTTTAGTAGCACGTAGGAAAACTGAGGATGTACTGATGAATTTTAATGAATACAAATATTTTTAGGAAAATAAAAAGAAATGTGAAACATGGACAAATATTCAAATTAATAGAACATTTCACAGACATTGTAGACCTTGTTGCTTTACTTGTAACATAAAAATCCTTTTCTAACTCATCTGTCTCTGTTTATTGCCAGTTCCTCTTTTATCAGATTTGATAAGACAAATAAAAGACTAAAGCCATTTGCCTGAATACACCTTATCAGCATGAGATTATGTGTCCCAGTATTTTATGAACTCAGTGCTGACATATTCATGATTGGAAAACAAATGGCCATTTAACAACAAAATACATGAGGCATTTGATGTTACATCTCTGCCAGTCGGTCCACCACTTTGGTCCAGACTGAAATATCTACACAACTATTGTATGGATAGCTAAGAAATTTGGTACATACAGTCATGGTCCCTAGAGGATGTACTCTTGACTTTCCTCTTTTGTGCGAGTCATTAACTGTATATAATAATGGACAAAGCTACAGTGACATCACCCATTGGCATGTGGACTCCCACTTTGAAGCCTTGAGTTTTGGCCGTTGCCATCTTGTTTTTTTTTTTTTGATCCAGATGTGACCATAGTTGGAGAGGATAGCGCTGCAGAGGAGCGAGGATTGGATCTGACTCACAGAGTGCTGCAACGCTTCACACAGAGCCTATCACTCAGGCAGCCCTGCCTGTAAATATGGGTAATTTTGGGCCTCAATGAAATGTAAACGGGTGAGTAAAAAAAAAAATTCACCCCCTGTTCCGTTGTCATGAATGTTGAAATTAGCTATAGAGACCAAAATGTTTTTTGTACCAGGCTGTGAACATGTTTATTTATGCTGTAAAGTTGGACATTTTAACATGGGGGTCTGTGGGGATTGACTCTGTTTTGTAGCCAGCCTCAAGTGGCCTTTAGAGGAACTGCAGTTTTTGGCACTTTCGCATTGGCTTTATTTTTCAGCCTCGGAGGTTGCTGCTTGGAGCCAGCATGAGATTGACATTTGTGGACTGAGTTAACTGTCAGTTAACAATGAAGGGATGGACTGCCATAAAATTCAACATGTATTCATGTCCCTAAATTGTAGTTGGTGATCCCTCACCTTGACATGTAGCGCCATCATCAGGACCACATACGTACCTGCAAAACTGATGTCCTTACCATCAGCCTCAGCTGTACTTAGTGTTTAATGTTATTTAGCAAATGTTAGCATGCTAACAGGCTAAACTGAGAGGGTGAATATGGCAACCAGTATACCTACTAAACATCAGCATGCTAGCATGGTCAATGTGAGCATGTTAACATGCTAATGGTAGCATTTAGCTCAAAGCACTACTGTACCTATGTGCCCAGGCGGCTGTGGCTCAGTAGGTAGGAAGGGTCGTCGATCCTTGGCTGCGCTATTGGGCAAGACACTGAACCCCAAATTACACTCAGTGTAAGTGTGTGTGAATGTTTAATTGATGTTAGCCTTGGGCACCAGTGGGTGAATGTGGCATGTACATGGAGTGTAAAGGTGTAAAAGCACTTTGAGTGCTCGAAAGGCAAAATCCATGTATCATCCATCCAAGGGCAGCCTCACGCAGCAGCCTGCATGGCTGTAGACTCTTAGCCTTGTTAGTGATCTAGGAGGCTACATTTTCTGTAACTCAGAGGACTTGAGTAACATTGAGGAATGACCAGTCCACTTCTGCATTGGATGACTTCACATAACTGTTGTGTGACTGATAACAGCTGGTATGAAGGCTAATAAACTCATAAATGCCATAAAATGCATACACTGTATTTACATAATCATTAATATCCTTCCTGCTTCAGCCTAGTTCCTTTAGGAAGTGTGAGAACTATGTCACCGACTGTGGGACACAAGGGTGAAAACTCAAAAAGCAGCATATTATGAGAACAGACTGATCTTTTTACATGAAAGCGTTGAACACACTTTGGAGCAGGAGGACTAAAAGTAAAGTCAACTTTGGTCCATGTTGCCACAGACTGTGGAAGTTTTCCACTTTGTGCGTAAGCGCTGACCAGTCACAGTCAATGCTAAAAGCCTGTTAAAAGCTTAACAAATATAAAGCTGTGCCTTTATTGGGAATAGGCATCATATTGTGCACTTGTTCCCTTCACACCGGACGTCCTCAGCAAACAAACAGACAGTGGATGTCTTTCCTAATGCAGCACAGCTTGTTTGAAGAGCATTACTTCATAGATGCCTCCATTTACCTCTGCACAACTAAAATCGTTTATAGGTGTCACTTTGAACACATTTGGTCTCACTGGATACCTTGTTGGTGTGTGGAGACACAGAGAGACAGACATGGGGCAGTAAAAAGAGGGGGAATAAATGAGAATGGAAACAGCCATTGAGGCATTACAGAGACTGAGAGAGCTGTGATTGAACAGTCATGTAAGTGTCTGTACAAGTGTTTCATAGGTTATTTTCTCTGTTATGAATTATAAGTGTAGGGTTACATTGATATTTTTGTCTTTCGTGATTTAAAAACTTGGGAAATATGGCAATCAACAAACCAAAAGAATATTAAATTACAAAAATATACTGACAATAAGAAAAAGGCCTACAACTGTTAACTAATCATTTAATAACCCTGCTGAGTATTTTTTATTAATCAAAAAGAAAAACGCCAAATACAGTTTTAAAAGTCTAAAATACTTTAAAATGTCTAGTTTTGTCTGACCAGTATTCTAAACCTCAAGGTTATTTGTTTTAAATGACATAAAACAGAGAATTAAATAGCTGACACACGAGAAACACTTTGATGTTGTTGTTGATTGTTGATGAATCTTTTTGGTTTAAATATGAACAATGGAAAAGTCCATATTCAAAATGCTTTTGTGTGCAACACTGACAAACTGAGTTAAATGTTGCACAAACTTAATAAAACTGAGCATAAGCACACAATCATTTATCATAGCGAGAGCACATCTGACTGTTTATATGCTGCAATGGATGCTGGGTATTTGCACTCAACTGTTACCAGTTCTTCGAAGAGGAATGTCCAGTGTTTATTCTCAGCGATAAACAGAGACGCCCTTGACTTTGATTTAAACAGATGTTATGTAAGTGTCAGTACTATAATTGCATTCTTGGCTTGTGGTTAAGTAGAGTTTGGATGTTATTGTTTGGGAGAACTGTGAGGAAATTACTGGTGTTTGAAATGGATCAGTGATGCTTCTATTAACATCTTATAGCACTGTGCGTATGAGCGTAATGCACTGGAGCAGCAGCTGACCTCCACACTGTCTTTTATATTAGACACACTACTGTTATCAAGTGGTGGTACTGTACGAGTACTCAGACATTTTAAAGTGCCAGTGCAACAATGTAAAAGTACCTGTCACTGAGAGCTCCACTTACAAACAGTTTAACTGGAAGAGCAGATATCTGTGATGTAGTTGTCTCCTATTTTCCAGTGCAGTGAGAGGTGGCTTATAAGAGAGTTCTGTTGAAGGTAGTCTTCCTTTTACCAACAAGGGGTTGGCATATTTCCAAGAAAAAGCTATCTCTGTTGGCCAGCTTGTAAGACAATCGTATAGAAGTGCCTCTTGATGGAACACTGTGGTTTCTGATTTATTACTCAATCCTCTATTTTAGTAAAAGTATGAAAATAACAATGTAAAATGCTCTCGCTTACAAGTAAAATATACTTTAAGTACAGTATCTGCCACACTGACTTTTTTCTGTGTCCGTTTTTTTAAACCTCTGTGGACCTTAAACAATTATTTACAGGAAATGAAACTCTCTGGTGGAACTACTTAAAAGTGATAGACATCTGAAACGTGACACTACACAGGTTTTTTGTGAAGGAATCACAAGACCAAACGGTGGAAACCACCAGTTTAATCTGTAACAATGTGTTGTATTTTATCATCTTATTCATAGGTGCAGATGTGAAGACTTCGGGATTTAGGACATGTGCATTAGCCCCCCCCTCCCCAGTAAAAACACATAGGTAGCAGAGGACTTTTATTCTGACAACATGAAAGACATTAACATCATTGTTTGATGCAGATAACGAACACATTGGTGCATAAAGATTCACTAGAATGCAGGAAATGAAGTGATTGATGGAGGACCCCCAAACTCATTCCCCACAAAGTATATTTATACGTAAAACTTTAATCTGTGAAGTAACTACAGATGTCAGATAAATATAAAGGTGTAAAAAAGTAAAATATTTGTGTCTGAAGTGTCAGTGTAAAGTAGCATAGAATTAATATACTTGGGTAAAGGCGTCGTTACATTTGTTGCGATGTGACCGGTCCTCCTGTGAAACCACTGAGTGCCTCATAACAACTGTTTTCCATATGACTCTCCATGTGTCGGCCGCTCCAGAGAACTACTGGTACCCCTGAATGTCGATGTGATATGGAGTCATTGTATATCTACAGTTGGCTTTTTGTCACAAATGAACTTTACCACCATCTACTGGATTTAAAAATGTATGGCATTTATTCCGCTGAGGCCATTTGACAAAAGTATTTTAGATGCTTTTTGTCCACTGCTATGGTCTACAATCTGCAACAAAATGAGAGATGAACAGTATGATATATGTAGAGGTCTCTGATTCTAAATAGTACATTCACAGACCAGAGAGAAGAGACAGCATCTTACTTACAAAACCTAAATTTATGATTGTGGCAAATTGGCACAGAGAGAAATCTGATTACAGTGCAGTCTTTAGGGATATAATTTTTGATTAGTAATATGTGTGTTTGGTCAACTTTAGAAAATAATGGGGCAGACAAGACATCTGGATGTGTATCATCAAACCCCTCAGAGGAAGATAAGTACCATGAGAACACTATCACGTTACCAGAGTAACTCCAGACCTCCATCAGGCCTGGGTTACACCTGAATACGTTCTTCTTGTGTGCAGTTTGCATGTACAAGGGACCTTCATCATAGTTTTGATAAGCAATGTAGCAAAAGTCTGCAGATTTTAAAATGTGAATGAAAACTTGCAGATTTATCTCATCGCTTGTTTTGAAGACAGGGACTTATGGGAAATCTGTCATTTTACATTATTGCACTTAAAGTTATGCTATCATGTGACTTCAGATTCACAGTAAATCTATGTAGGTATCTCACAAAAACTTGTCATTATTCCTACAATGTCTCACATCTGTTATTATGAGTATTACAACATTACCTTCATAACTGCCAGTGTGTGACCTCCTGACCTCACTTTGCCCTTTCTGATGTGGCAACAGGAAGTTGCGGCATCCTCTGCACCTTTCTCTACCCACATTTTTCTCCATCTGCTTTCCAAATAACCAGATGCACTACTTTTCTGTTGAATTCATGATTCATTTCCCCTGAGTTTCACTGAAGGGTGAAATACAGTGCACATGTGGCTCCTCTAACTGTCTTCTCACCTTGTAACTTCTGATATATTTATGTCATGGTCGACTGTCTTTGACATCATACGGTACATGCTTTTTGAGCATTACATATTTGTGTTAAGCTTTTTCTTCAAGATTAATAAAGCAGACAAGTGATAGATGAAGAGAGAGTGTGAGATTTCCTGTATTTGGTAGCTAAAAAGTAAAATTTGCTTAATTTTATCTAATTTTATTCCACTTCCTTTGCCTCTCCACTGTGTTTTTGTATGTGTGAGGTATTTCTAAAGCACTTTAAGTCGTCACTGCTGCTGTTTAATCTGCATTTATCCAAGTCATAGAAATAAAATACTGTTCAGTTTTTGTTTATAGAGCAAAAGTTACAAAGCCGCCATCTAGTGGTGATATTAAGCCATGCAGGACAGCCAAACATTTTTCCAAAAATGGAAAAGCTTTACAAACATGTTGAGAGTGGATCTTCAGCTTAGTGAAGCAAGAGACATGCCATAATTCGGATTACAAACCTTTTTACTGTCTACATGCGCCACCCAAAGGCCATAAATACGATTTTAACACAGATAACATCAAAAGGAAAGAGCATTGGAAATACTTACATGAGAAGTTTAAAGACACCGGGGAAATCGAGATTATTGGCTTTTATGGCGACAGGGAATGTAACTCAAGTTACCAAAGAATGACATTCAGGGGGCAGTTTGCGTTAATTTTAAACAGCTTTGACGATTTGGTCTTTTTGTAATTACTCGTCTTTATATATTTTCTAACTTTTAAGTATTTGCGCCCCAACATTTTGACTGTCGTTTTAGAGATTGACTTTACGAGGAGCACCTAAAAGCAGCACTTAAACGAGGTAGGCGGGTCTGTTTCTCATTCTCCTCACCCATTGGCTATCTGCGCCATCAGTCAACCCACTTCGACAACTTCCGGCAGCTCGGATATGATGTAGCAACTGTTGTGGCGTAACTGAAGTTACAACCGTTCAGCACGGCGTCAATCACACTTTACAGGTATTAAACTTGTAACAGTTTGACTTGCTTGATAAAATGGCGTATCCAGGATACGGCGGGGTGAGTAAACAAAATTTTAACATAATTTTATAGTGATAAACGAGGCATATTAGCAGAAAAGCAGGCCTGGGGCTCCTTTTACAGACAATTTCCGATGTCACAAGATGTTCTGTTAAAGATTTCCTGGTCTTCCTGTAGCAGGGTACTTATCCATATATAGCCTATGTGAACCGCAATAGGGCGGTCTTTTCATCTTATTTTGGCAGTTTTAAGCTATATTGGCACCTCAGTGTTATCGTTAATATGCTGAAAATGTCTTCCGCTATGTAAATTCCTCAATATTCCACAGGACTAAGCAGAACCAGCATTTACCTTTAGCCTATTACACGTTGTTATGAGCCCAGGTAAGGGGGCGTGTCCTTCACTAATATGCTTATAAAACTCTTGTTAAAAGCCTGTAGACTATATCTTAAACTATGATATAACTAGTTAAATGTATTGCTTGCAAAACACTCTCCTTGTATACTCAAACATTTAGCTATGGGTAATTGCGCTACCCTTGTAAGTTAATTGATTACAGGGACCATAGACACACCTGAATCTAATTTTATCCTACTGTGTGAAGAGTCACCTGTAATTACTGCTGTTCAGTCAGGCCCGAGTGCAGTCAGTGCAGCTTAAAAATGGTCCTAAACTCATTTTTAACACTGATACATGTTATTGTTATGGACTAAAATGTAAGCATGAACAACTCTCCCCTCATGTTAAAAACTGGTGATTTGATCAATTATAAGTTCTGTACTGCTCCATAGACAATGAATTGGGGAAAATAGTTAAAGATGACACTTTCCCCATAACGTCCTTTATTCAGTTACCATAAAAGGATACAAAAGCACAAAGGAATACAATTAATATCAAAGAACGCAAGTGGAACAGCAGTGGTACATTAACAGGGCCGCAAAAATGTATTTTTAATTATATATTTTAAATCAAAAAGAGATTTTCAAGGCATTGTAAACGACCATAGTCCTAGTGGCTTTCTGATTTGTAAGTTCTTTTAATGTCTCAAAGTCCAGTGTCATACCATTGAAGTGGTAATGTTGTATTGATATAAAACTTACCCTACAAAATGAGAGGATTTGAAATAAAGACATGCCCTCTGTTCAGATCAATTTCCCCTAAAATAAAAAGGTTTTTTTTTTTCTGTAGATTAATCTTGTTTCCACATAATATATCATAAACATATTCAACATCAGTCCAGAGGAATTTTACATAAATGCATTCATATAACAAATATTGTTATTGATAATTGATACCCAGGATACAGAATACACAGGTATCAGAAAGATTATTTCTATTTTTTCAAGAAGTGTTTTGTTGGATAGATTAAATGTATAATATTAAAATACACTGACACATCACTGACCTTATTGTTGACAAAATATGTGTTACAGTATTATAGATGACCTGTTTAAGAGGCTTAACCCGGTTATGATTATATGCAGGATATGGTTTTCTCACAAGTTTCAGGGGGATTATGGCTCCCCATTTTTACTTATGCGTTTTCCGAAACATGGTGGACTTGTTTTCATTGGGAAATACCAATGAGGTGTGGTTAGGCTGTGGGTTGATAAAAGGTCATCAGTGTGACGTACACACACATCTACTGGAGTCACCTAATGATGTGACGAGGTTCAGGTGTGTGGGTACTGCGGAATTGGCAGTGCTAAGAGGCCGTTTACACGTACACGGTGATTTTGATAAACGGAGACATCTTCCTTCGTTTGTGCCCTTCGTTTACACGCAAACGGAGATTTCTCCTCTGAAAACGAGTCTTTCTAAAAACTCCGGCCAGAGTGGAGATTTTGGAAAACTCCGGTTGCGCGTTTGCATGTAAACTAAGATAAACGGAGATAAACGGAGTTATAGGCAGCCGACGTCACAGTATGCGCCGGAACTTGCGCCTGTGTAAAAAGTGCGACCTATGTTGCTATGGTGACAATGGATACATGGAAGGCTTGAGCTTCTCGTTACACTGCCACCTACAGGTTTGGCATGCTCTTGTGTATATATACACGGGTAAGTGTAAACGAAGATCTTTTTGAAAACGGAGACGGTGAAATGTCCGTTTATGAAAATAGCCGGCAACGTGTAAACGGCCTCTAACTCTCCTGCTACACACCTTTCCAACTTATGGACTTTTGTGGAAGACCAGCCTGTATTTTTTTTGGTGATTCAGCCACCAACAACCTAAATTGAACCAAAATATCAAGATGGAGCACCGTGCTGCTCATGAGAACACAGACCGGCGACGTTGAGGCCTTGTCTGAGGGACCGGCTAACTGCTAGCCCACAGATGGGCCTGCTAAACATGAAGCTAACCCACCTCTCAGCTGTTTTCCCAAGTCTTGGAAGCTAGTCCATCTGTTTTTGTTTCTTTCCTTGCATTTTTCCACACACTCCAGGTTAGGATGAGTAACTTTATAAGAATTGACAAATCCATGACAGAACCATAAAGAACACAGAAATCATTCCTTCGTACACACACACATACATGCATGATCCACCATGTTATTGGAGGTACAAACAAACACTGGAGGTGCAAGGTAACCATTTGATGTAGCGATTGTTTGCGTTTTTAATTGCTTTTCTGTTTAATGTCATCCGATTACATTTCTTAGCTCGAGCAGTAAACATAAGTTAAAGCTTTGTGGACTGAATACATATTCTCTGGTGATGTTTGGTTGAATTATGAATGAATTCATGAAAGGCCGCCAGTTGACTGGAGCAGTAAAATGATTCTACTGACCTATAAAAATATAATGTAGCCTATAATACATTATAGATACAACATTAGCCTACCTGCTTTTACGATTTTGCACAATAAGGAGCTCAATTAGGTGACTACTTGTGAGAAAAGCATTAATCTGACTCCTAATGAATGACTGGTTTTGTTACCTGCTAAGTTTCTCACCCAACCCTCTCTTTCAAATACATCACCACTTTGTTTGCACCAAGGAAACTATGATCTTATATGATATTCATTGGTTTGCACCTCCAACACAGTGGTATATAATTCGCCTTTAACTGTGGGTAGCGCGTGACGTCACTGTAGGTGAAAAAATAGTCCCCATATACATGAAAAATACTTGTAACGCGGTTACTGATGACTGCAGCCTATTTGTGCAGGTGCCCATGATGTTTACTAAAACAGGGTGAAAGGAAATACTACACAACACTGTACATTTATTGCTGTCACCATGACGTGACAACTGGAAATTTCTCCCCTGATCTCCAACAGCTGTCTGATCTCTCTCTCTGTCTCAACACACGCTATGTCCTGAGATAACACTATCCTAAAGGCAGCTGTGCTACTTCTGTCACTGTCACTGCCATTGTGTAGGACAGGGGAGCAGTGGATGAAGATGCCAAGCCCATCTAATTTACAAAAGATTAAACTCTGTTTATTTATCGCTTCAGAAGTGATATCCTTTCACTGCTGACATTGTTTGTGTTTCTGTTACATAACTTGGCTGAAGCTGCACCTGTGCAGGTCGTCAGCAGCTCTTAATACCCAGGATAAGGTGTATACATGGAACTGTGTCCTGGTTTTTATTGGAGTACTCCAGATAGCATATTCATGTTTGTCATAAACAAGATAAGGACTTATTCAGGTTTCGGAAATGGGGATATGATGTTTACATGCTCACACACACTTATGAACAGGACACTCCAAAAACCAGACCACCAACAGGTTATTCATGTCCATGTAAACACATTCTGTGTATGGGTCATTTTCTGTTTAAAACTTGAAGAAAAAATAGAATAAAGATCATTTGGGTGTAAAAACAAACATCCCAAGATCTACTTCTCTGTTTTGTGGCTTTGAGAGTGAGTAGCTCATCTTCACTAAATTATTATTTAACAGTATAGAGTAAGCATGAAAGGGGAGAGCGAGAGAGAGGGTTGTAGGCTGGAATTGAACCGACAGCTGCTGCAGCAAGGAGATTGAGCTCGTACATTGGATGCCCGCCTTACCCACTGAGCTACTGGGCACACTGCATATTGTGATGCATTATTTAGGTGGTGCACCCCTTATGAATGGTCTGACACTTCTCAGTAAAGAGTAGGCTGTGTAAGCTTTGTGTGAAGAAGTTGAAATTAACCCTTAACAAAGTCTAAGTGTGATCCAGAACTGTGGAATGCCGTGCCTCAGTGTTATAGAATATTGACTCTTGCCCCTATTTAAGCAAGCATTGAGTCAGCTAATAGAAGATCTCGAAGGTGACAGGGTCACTTCAGCTTCATGCACACCGTGACATGATTAAGAATACCCGCCAGTTATTGAATGAAAAGCTTACATGCTATAACAGAGAGAAGGGCATGTGTAACATATTCCCAAACAACTGTGTTGACAATAAAAGCGTAAGCGTTTCTTTTTGCTCTGTAGTTGGTGTGCAAAGTCAGACCTGGTATTTTAGTTTCATCCACGGTCATACATTTCCACAGTATATAAAGTGTGTATCTGCTGCTGAGACCAAGTTTGAACATGTTGATTCACGAGAGAAAAATGACATCATTCTTTACATTTTGACACACCACCTGATCTCCCTCTGAGTGTCTTTAACATACCATCCCTGCTCTCCTCTCTCATCTGTGTAGCCTCAGTATGGGGGTCCTATGCCAGGAATGCCAGGTCAGGGGATGCCGCCCATGGGAGGCCCGATGGGAGGCCCAATGGGAGGCCCGATGGGAGGTCCAATGCCTGGGCAAATGGGTGGGCCGATGGGAGGCGCACCACCCCAGGGAGGATATGCCCCCTATGGAGGAGGCTATCCAGGCACATTTGGCGCCGCACCCCCAGCTGCCAATGATCCAATGTGGGGTTACTTCACAGCCATTGCAGGCCAGGTGAGTGTGGAGAAACCAACTTTTGGTTTCCTATGAATGTAGAGTACACATTGTTCATGTGACCTTTATAAAGCCCACGCTTTTCAATGAAGGCTTGTATTAACCTTCACATTTCATGTTTGGGCAAGATCAAGAAATTCTCTTGTTCATGAATCAGTTCAGTAACGACATGGTTGAGAGACAGTTGGGCTCTGTCTTTACTTGATTCCCCTCTGCTTCAATTGTCTTACATGTCAGCAGTGCAAATACACTGATTCTGCAGTAGAAAATAAGTCTTTGGTTGTATGGGAGATTTATAAATACTTACATAAAAAGCGATACATTACACATTGTTATGTATTTCCATTTTTATGTATGCATTTACCATGTCATAATTAAATAGGGCAGTTATGAATTTTTTTGTCTTTGATAACTGAATAAATATTTTTCCATTGCACATACAAACACACTTTTTGATTTGTTTTCACATCAGCATTTTAAATCTTCCATACAAATGCTTCCAGCCTTACGCCAGGGTCACATCAGACACAGAAGAGACCGATAATTCAGTTGTTGCGTGAGCAGTCCCGTGGCTGTTCACACCAGAAGTGCATTTCTCCGTGCTGCTCTTCTTCCCTGCTCTTCTCTAACCACATGTAGAGTTCTTTCTCTTTCTGTTTGTCTGCACATAATCTCTCACGCTCTGTTTAGACACAACTGATAAAAATGTGGAATAAGTAAGCATGGGATGCATATTCTGTAATTAATAAGAATCAGATCATTTACATCAATCATACTTGTGTTATATTGTTCAGATTAGTGTGACTTCTTTAAAAATTCACTCATAGAAAGACTAAACCGGACACCGAAACTATCGCTGCAGATCACGTGCTGTATGAACAGCCTACTTGGTTGCGATAGGTGCTGAAAGAAGGCAGCAGCACGCTTCATGGCCCTTCCTGTGCTCAGTGTGAGCCTGGTGTTAAGTGGATATTATTTACGATGACTTAACGGAGACCACTTTACTTCTTGACACTTCTTCTGTTTCTGTCTTGCTGTTTTCCACACTTTGACTCAGCATAGTTTAAACATCACTTTAGTGGTAGCATACACAGCTACATGGGTGACATCACTTCACACTTGACCAGCAGGCCAGTCTCCTCAGAAAGTTTTTTTTATTCCTGTGAGAGTCACACATGACTGAATATCACTTCCTGCTCTGTGCAGGACGGTGAGGTCGATGCGGAGGAGCTTCAGAGGTGTCTGACCCAGTCTGGTTTCTCTGGCAGCTACACACGTAAGTTACCGACTCTCCCTTCCACAAAGGAGGATGACTGACTCCTCAATTATACCACTCCCATGAGTTCTTTCCAGTGCTTAATTGTATGTTTCAGTCAGGTGTTTTAATCATGCATAAAACAAATGCACAGCTGGGGTGTTGGGATCAAAGTTAAAGGGTGTTAAAACACAGGACGGAAAACACAAAACGGTTGCTTATATCAAGTGATGCTGGTTCAAGCAACTATACAATGCATGCTGGTTAGTACATAAGGCTTGACCCTGTTTCATCAAAGTTACAACATTCAAACTCCTATTAATAGAAGGTAATGTGTGCACATTCAGTATGAACACTACCACCATCTGCAAGTCACTTCTGTGAAATAGACCTTTGGAGTCTACACTATTGTTCAATATGATTCCTCTGGAGGGGAAGTGAACGAGGGGAAGTCAGCGTGGGCTTGTTGCAGGTTTTGGTCGACACCTGACAAGTCTGTGTCAGTGAGTATGAAATAAAATACTCCACAGTATACAGGAGCAGCAGGCACAGGTTTAGATGGACAGATACTTTATAATATAATTAGAAGTAAAATTATAACATCAAACACCATCTTCAAGTCCATACTGTGATTTTTTTTTTCTTCTGATTAGCCAAAAAAATCTCAAATCTTTAAGTGTTCTACATATGGCACCAATCAGGCTAGTCTTATTTACTCAGTTACTTGAAAACTTAATGAGCTGTTAAACCAAACAGTGTGTGAAGAGAGCATTTTTGGGTTGAAGAAACAGTCATGGAGAGTTGTGCAGACCGTCTCTGGTGTTCTTGGATTTGATTGTTGATTTCTTGTTGAGCGGACTGGATCCTCATTACCTCAGCAATCATATATTTATTTAGCCTTTATTTAATTAGAAAATCCCTTAACATTAAAATCCCCTTGTGAGGGAGACCTGGCAAAGCACACTAGTACAAGTTGGGGTGTAACGATGCATCAGTCTGTACCGAAGTATTGATTCAGTGATCAACGATCTAGTGTCATCGATGCAAAGTGAAAACATTGATCTATATTCAGGGTCACCGTCAAACAGCATCAGGCAGTCGGCAAGCAGCAGAGAAAGATGATGAGGATAATATTTCTTACCTGGGAGTAAATCAGCAGTGTGAAAATATTGTCCATTATGGAGAAAATACAGGTCAACGGACAGAGCACATTGTGTATGTAAACAGTGCCGTTATGAGATAAGACATGACTAACTTCGCTAGTATTTGCGGCTCTGTCTCAACAATGTTCGGCTAAAAAATTGCACATGCAGGCTGAAATTCCAACGTACGGTGACTTTAACCAACAGTGAGCAAGAAAATGATAATGCCACTTGTCATTTGTTAAGCTGTGAGTAGAGGAAAAAAGTCTGCTGGCTGCTAGGCTAATTTGTGCAATGCCTAAGCTAATAATAAGCATTTATAATTTCTGTCTTAAAGCCCCGAAAGTTAACTTATCCCATGTACTGTTTTGTATGTGTTTGTGGAGTCAATTTAAAGTGAACTTTACTGCATTTGTTCGTGTTGTTTCCATCTTTTATGGCCAAAAGTAAATAAGAAAGAGGTGGCAGCTTCCTCTGTAACCGATTATGTTAAATGGACATTTATTATCGTCTTATATAGATCGCAGGTCCCTGAATCGCATTGCATTGACATTGTATTATGGCAGACTTTGTAATATCGCCAAATATGGTATCGTTGTCCAAAGGTTAGAAACATTACAAAGAGCACATTAAACACAGACATGGACGATTAAAAATACAGTAGAACACGACAACAGATATAGAATATAAAATAATAATTGTACCCGTTGCTTACACTGTGTTTTTTAATCGGAACTCTCCCAAGGAGACAAAATAATGAAGCTGTAGTCTGTTCTGCTTTACTAAGCTCTGGACTACCCTGGGTACCTGGTAGAGTGGAGCGAAAATCATAACAGCTGTTGGTGAGTGACAGGAAATGTCACAGATATGAAGTGAGTTTAATCTGTATTGACTGTATCTTCTGAGGTTTAATAAAAGGCCAGGAAACCAGGGCCTGTTCCATAAAGCAGGTTTACCAAATAAGCCAGGCTTTTTTTGGACTCAATTTGACTCATTTACAGGTGATTCAGTTCCATGAAGCAAATCCAACATAGTGCAAGGTCATTTCCTGTGATTACTTATGCTGGGAAACTAACCTGGTCCGGGGCAGTCTAACCGTCACACTGTTGCTTAACCACAGTTCCTCCCCGACAGGAAGGCGATGACTTTACCACTGACTTTGTGGCATGCTGCAATATTATTTTACTTTTATTAAACACTATCAGTCAAAAAAATGAAAGTTTATAGAAAAATCAACTTAAGTAAATACATTTAATAAATTGTACTAATATAAATGTTTGTATATAAACCTACATGTGTTTAATTGGTGTGTGTGATATTAAAATGTTGGGTTATGCCACATAAAATAAATTTAAATTTAAATTACCCCTGCAGAATTATAATAGCTACATAAATAGTTAACAGTGCAATTGCACCTGCAGCAACGTTCTTTCCTCCTCACTTAAGTTGATCGTGTTGAAAGTGTCCCCCAACCCAAATAAAAAACTTTAATTTGTTGAAATCAGTTACCAGTGTTCTTGTATAAGATATTTAAACAATCTACAAGTTTTCTGTTCTTACTGTTGGAATGTAATGTGCCCAAAATTGTACTAGGTTGGATCAGAATTTTGTTTAATATTTTAACTTAGTCGCCACTTATGCATTCAGTCGATCAGCAGTTTCTTGCCAGTCTTTCTCTCTGGGTGCTGCATTAGATTTTTTTGATTGTAAGATGTTTGAAGTCTTCATCCGTCTCTTAAAGTAAGTGCTGCATGGTAGTTGTGAACATCACTGCTGTCTCTTAACCACTGCTGTTTCCATGGTGTATCAGTGTGATCCATGTTCAACTACTTGGGCTGCTTAAGAACAGTGTGCACACGTAATTGTCTTAAATATTTGAAACCTTTATGTGTTGAATTAGTCTGACTGCATGAACTTGAAATCACCGCTTTAGCGTGGATTGATTTGTTGGGTTCATTCAAGGCAGGATTTGGATTTTAATCCCATGTTAGCGTGCTTTATGGAACAGGCTTTGGATCATTATCTACACAGTGATGTGTGTGGGACATAATATGCTTTTACATTCAAGATCTTATTTTTTCCAAAACCCTACAGTGGCCTGCAGCAGTCAGCTGGTTATGAGCAGGTCTTGGTGACTTTGAAGCAATGTAGACTGCATCTAACATCTCACAGGAGCAAATATTAGCTTTGTTAATTGCTCTTAATTTGGGTATGGGCTTCAACTAACAGCCTGTCAGGAGAAAACCTCCAGCCTCAGAGTGCTTTGTGAAGATGCCCTCAGGTGTAAAAGCTGGTTGTGCAGCTACAGTTTGTGGACATTTAGCTCATGTGTGGTTCTTTCAATTACTAAAGTTTAGACTGGGACCATCATAGTAGTAGTGATGTAAAATGCGAGGGTTGGTAAACATGACTCCACTAATTCTTTACATGTTTTATTACCTTCACAGCATTCAGCCTGGAGACGTGCAGGGTCATGATTGCAATGCTGGATGTATCCTTTCTGTACTGTCAGGGTTAACTTGGAATAAATGTCTGTGTCAGTCAGAGCTGGAAATGAGACTGGCTGATTGTTGCCATAATGTGTCCGTCACCAGTTCCTGTTGTACCCTGTCCATTCATGGTAATTGTTGAAATGTCTGACAGTAGGTGTGGTGTTGAACCTTGAACAGGGTTAACCAGCTGCTGTCTTCATTCCAGTCACACCTTGCTGTAATTATTCTTGTGGGTCAGCAGCAGTTATTAAAGCTTAACCAGGCTGTCTGCAGAGGGACTTTACAGGCAAGATGGGCTTCAATGAGTTCAAGGAGCTGTTCACAGCTCTGAATGGCTGGAAGCAGAACTTCATGATGTTCGACCAGGACAGGAGTGGGACCGTCGAACCTCACGAGATGAGTCAGGCAGTCAACTCTATGGGTGAGAGTCTCAACAGTTTAACATGATGGATATTTAATGTGGTGATGATAGCACATCTAATGGTTGTCACAGTGCTTAATGATACTTAATTGGACTTGATATAAGTCATTTAATGTGTGCTGATTGGTGTGATCTGTCTCTCACTTATCATCCTTTTGATCAGTCTGTCACTTCTTCATATTATCATCCACAGTTCAACAGAGGAAAACGTTACACTTGTGATACACTCACTGCGACATATGCTCCATATTCTTAGATATATTCCTCCAAACTGTCAGGTTATTAGATGTGGCATTACGAAGGCATGTAAAGTATGTGTCATTTAGTTTCATCTACTGCATTTTGGTTAGTGGATTTTACTTAAGAATTACTAAAGGACATCAGTTGCCACAAAAAAAAGTTTATGGCATGAAATTTTATGATGTAAAATGCCATTGTGTTTCCTAAAAACACTTCATGAAACAAACACTAAAGACAATTTGCATGTTATCATAGCTCAATCACTTCTGGATTTTTCATGCTGACATTATTATTTGTGCCCAAAGACTTTATTTAGTATGATAAGGAAAAATGCTTAAACATTTGCTCCAATTGATTTATAATCTTAAATTCGGGTACAGATGTACTATCTAACAGAACAACTTTGAAACTTTTTGATCACATGAAAAATGACAGTTATCAGTCGTCAAAATCAGGATTTTTAAAAATGTTAAACTTGTTTTATCAAGTGTTTTCCTCATTAAATAATTTTTTACACTGCACGTGTGCATATCTTTGATATTTAACTTCTTACAACTTCATAGATACTGAATACTTTATTATGCTCCTTGTCGTCTCTGAGATACAGTAATTTTCTTGTCATACTATGTTTAGTGTTTGGGCACATGAAACTACAGTTTATTCATAAAATATAATGAAATATGTAGAAAACAGTCCCATGTCCTCAAAGCCTAAATATAGTATGACAAAATAAATGGCCTTTTCTCAGAAACTGTTTAAAATGTCTTCAGATTTTTGCCACAAAAGGAAATTAAAAATTTTAGTTGCAGGCACAAACAGGTTAATATTTTAGTTTAGGAAATCTGATAACAGTTATTTGCTCATCTTATTTCTTTTTATATAAGCACATAACACAAACAAAAAAAAACCTTGATAATGTGACCAAGATACATACTTAGTGGGATGTCGTACCGTTTAAAAATCATCTCGTCAGTGCTCCTTAGTAGAGAAACTACAGTATGTAAGGGATTATATTTCTAAACATATCTAGACATACAGTCAGGTCCATAATTATTTGGACAATGATACAGTTGTCATCATTTTGGCTCTGTACACCACCACAATGGGTTTTAAATGAAACAATGAATACCTGCTTAAAGTGCAGACTCTCAGCTTTCATTTAAGGCTTTTTTCAAAAATGTAGTATGAACCGTGTAGGAATTACAACCATTTCTTCACACAGTCCCCCGACTTTAAGGGCTCATAAGTATTTGGACAAACTAACATAATCATCAATT